CATTCAGTGTCCTCCACCCCTCTCTGCCAATCCCTCCACCCCTCTCTGCCAATAAAATTGAAAACATTAACAATCACATATAAAGCCATTTATAACTGCCCCAAATTACATCACCAATTTTGTCTTCAAATATCATCCAAACGGTTCTCTCCGCTCCTCCCGCTCTCTAGCTCCCTTGTCTCCTCCTCCCATGCTCATCTCCAGGACTTCTCCAGAGCCTCCACCATCCTTTGGAACTCTCTACCTCAATCTATCAGACTATCGCCTAATCTGCCCACTTTTAGGTGATCTCTGAGTCTCGGTCCACCCACCACTGCAAGTGGGGCTGAATTACATCACTGCCTCCTGGAGAAAGAACTACAGAAGGGTTCTCTATTGATAGAGAACCAGCGATGCGAACCCAGGCTACTCTCCAGGCGGGGACTGCATATTCTTCCTCTTCTCTCTTTTTCCATTACATAGGGAGGACAGGCTGTGTAGTTCATAGAAGATAACTGGAGAATTGCTTAAGATTTTGGTGCACATCTAGTTACAATGACACGGAATTCCAGCAAAATCAACAGGAAATTATTTCTGCATGTGCAAAAAATGTAGCCTGAGAAAAACTAAATATTTAAAGTTGTCAATGTAGAAGCAATAGATGTCCCACCAAGAACAAGTAATGTTCTAATATAGGTACAAGAGTGACCATACCTTTCTTTCATTCTTTCTGACAGTGGAGAATTATCAGTACCTGCTTACACTGGAAATTTCCATTAAGTTGAAAAATGTCTGTACTTCTCATAGGAATTCCAGAATATTTCAGTCTGATCAATGACAGGCAATATTAAATCAGGAGCCTGGCTTGCACGGTCACTCCTATACCTAGCGGAACCTAGCGGAACCTTCTCAGGTTTGCTGTCCAGAACCAACAAGTGACAGACATTGTTCAGAACAGGATTCATTGCCTGGCTGAGGCATTTTATTTGTTATTTTCTTCCATATAGTACATCCAAGCACAAAATACAGATCTAGATTATTAGTTTTACATATTGTATAGTTATAACTGAATTTTGCAAAGCGTGTTCTAGTGGTTACCCTCCTGAAATACATAAAAGTCCAGCCTTTTCTTTGTTTCGAACAGAGTAGGGAAGAGTTAGAATCTCCATGAGGTCCCCACTGGAGAAATGCTCCCGTCACTTCGTGTTTTGGGTTGTATCAGTACTTGGAAGTGACGGTGATTCTTCTGAGCAGGGATACAGACAGCAGTCCTTACCCGTGTGCAAAGAAACCGAGGGCTCATTTGTAGAAGGTAATGCACTAGGCCCGTGTGCACTGTGTTTGTTTCTTTGCATACAGCTTCTTTGGATTTCCCCGGTCGGCTGAGGGCTTACATTCCCAAAAAGTACTCCATGTGGGGTTCCTGACATTGTGGAGCTCATCGTCCAGCGCAGGAGTTTCAGCATTCATTTGCTCATGCTTTTTTAGCAGTCCTTACCCGTCAGAGGTTCTAACCCTTTCCAATTATATCTAAACCTAAGTAATTTTGGCTGTAATTCTACTTTAAGAAGGGGCCTTCAATAACAAGCAGTTGAAGGGATGGACGCTGCTCAACTGACCCCAGGAGTCCAATGTTGAGGAATAGCCTCACAGAGACCTCTGTGACCAAGCGGAGCAAAATGCATCAGAGGGCTTGGCCAGAACACTGGCTGAGGCCATTCCTCAACGTTGGACTCCCGGGGTCAGTTGAGCAGCGTCCATCCCTTCACTTGTATTGGCTGACCCTGGAATGCATCGGACTCATGCTCCCCTCTTTTCACTTGCCGGTGAGGTGACCTTTCACCTTCTATCCATAGCTTGGAAGGTACATTTTCCACTAGGTTCAATAACAAGCAGGTGATATATCATCCTGGCTCACAGTGACATGGGTCTGTTATGGTTACAGGAAGCCACCGACTGAACTTTTACACAGTAGGGTACACCCAGCAGAGTGCTAAGTCGTACCTTACTCCTTGCAAATTGGAGGAAAACAGCTGAGTGGTGTTGCAAGGCAGTACAAGGGAACAATTGTGGGCAGCAGCTCCTAGCATGCAATCAGGCCAGGCTGGACAATGAAGGATGGCTATTGCCATTGGTCACTGCTCTTTGTACATTGATCCTTGCCTTCCTAAAGAACACATCTATTGACCTGCATCTAATTGAATATCTTTGGGAGGAATTGGAATGCCAAGCCAGGTACCAAATATCATTACCCAACCTCACAAAGGTTCCCTAGACTGATGAGCACACATTCCCACAAACACTCTACAATCTCATAGAAAGTCTTTCCAGATAAGTGGAGACTGGTATAGTCACCTCAGTTTTATTGATAATGGTTTGGAGTGGTATGTCCAATAATATCTAATAGCTATGATTGGTCGGCACATACTTTTGGTCAAATAGTGTATATTGTGATCACAAGTCTCTGCCACAAAGGCTTTTTTTTTACCAGCATGTCATTGAGCTACCTGTCTTCTGTCCTTCCTGGGCAAATACCCCTGATATCCTACCCTATATGCATGGCTGGATAATCAATTCTCACCACCATAGCTATGGGTTTGGCTACAGGTCGGTGACAGATCTAGTATTGCTATATATCTAGTATAGCACATGTAAGGCACACGTTAGCCAATGTAGTTATTATTTCATTATTTAATAAAAACTCACTGGCCTCTTTATTAGGTACACCTGGTCAACTGCTCACCAGCCAATCACATGGCAGTAACTCAATGCATTTAGGCACTAGACGTGGTGAAGATGACTTGTTGAAATTCAAGCAAAGCATCAGAATGGGGAAGAAAGGGGATAGTTGTTTATGACAGACGGGCTGGTCTGAGTATTACAAAAACTGCTGATCTACTGGGATTTTTATGCACAACCATCTCTAAGGTTTACAGAGAATGGTCCGAAAAAGAGAAAATATCCAGTGAGTGGCAGTTGTGTGAAGGCTTTGTTGATGTTAGAGGTCAGAGGAGAATGGGCAGACTGGTTCTAGATGATAGAAAGGCAACAGTAACGCAAATAACCACTCGTTACAACCAAGGTATGCAGAATACTATCTCTGAACGCACAACATGTCGAACCTTGAAGCAGATGGGCTACAGCAGCAGAAGACTACACCGGCTGCTACTCCTGTCGCCAGCAAAGAACAAAAAACGGAGGCTACAATTCGCACAGGCTCACCAAAACTGGACAATAAAAGGGCTTCCTTTATTCAAATGCTAATTAACTTGTTTAACTAGTTTATGAAAGCTAGTAAAACAGGAAGTGACGATGGTAGGGAAAGGAGATAATATAGCCATGTGCTAAACACAGGGAGGGGGAGCCTGGAAGAAGACCTGGTTAGAAGAAAAGGGGCTCCATAGCACCGAAAGGAGCTAAGACAGAAAGGGCCCACAGCACCAAGGAAAGTCTGTGCCATAGAAGACTTCATAGAACCAAAGAAGAAACTTCACTTGGGATGACAATAAATCTTCACTACAAGAGCACCTGGTTTCCTGAAAAATTCGCTTGAGTAGCCTGTGTCCTGTTTGTTACAGAAATAGTGAACTACTGTGTGACGGGAGTGAATTTTGGGGGTGGGGGGACCCCTGTGTCAGCTCATGTTCCCTTCATTATGTTTAACCCATCCTGTGCCTGTTAAGGGGTACAGGGTGTGAATGTCCATGCCCTAGTATTGTGTATTGGTGTGGGGATTGTTCGCTGCCATGTGGTTGTCCATTGTTCACTGCCATGTGCTTGTCCATGTTCTCCACATGAAGCAACAACTTGACAATTTTCATCATTGTGTTTTGGTTTGGTGGTCCTTTCTGGTAAAAATGTTGTCACTGAGACAGGAGAAGAAAGGAAACCTTTCTAAAAGAAACATCAATGAAAACACCTATTATTAGCAGGATTGGGGAAGGCTCTATCACCCATTCGCTGTTTTTTTGCTATCCAAGTCACCCTGAAAATTTACCCTATCTATTCTGGTGACCATGATGGGAAATGCTAAATTTTAGATATGTAACCTAAGCAAGAAGTGAGAAGAGTCCCCCATTTGGGACGCTTTTTATGATGGGAATTTTGTTCACTTTGGGGTGATTTTGCAACAAGGAAGAAGATGCACCATCGCTGAATTCCATAGATAAAAGATTTATGGAAAAGGTGGATGTGTCTCCTGTCGGACACAGGCATTGACGTGTTTTGCCCATAGATCAATGATTTATGGAAAAGGTGGATGTGTCTCCTGTCGGACACAGGCATTGACGTGTTTTGCCCATAGATAAAAGATTTATGGAAGGTGGATGTGTCTCCTGTCGGACACAGGCGTTGACGCGTTTTGCCCATAGATCAATGCTTTATGGAAAAGGTGGATGTGTCTCCTGTCGGACACAGGCATTGACGTGTTTTGCCCATAGATCAATGATTTATGGAAAAGGTGGATGTGTCTCCTGTCGGACACAGGTGTTGACGCGTTTTGCCCATAGATCAATGATTTATGGAAAAGGTGGATGTGTCTCCTGTCAGACACAGGCGTTGACGTGTTTTGCCCATAGATCAATGATTTATGGAAAAGGTGGATGTGTCTCCTGTCGGACACAGGCGTTGACGTGTTTTGCCCATAGATCAATGATTTATGGAAAAGGTGGATGTGTCTCCTGTCAGACACAGGCGTTGACGCGTTAGATATTGGGCTACCTCTATGACTAACTCCTGTAAAGGGCGAAACACATCCATCTTTTTAATCTTCGTTTTGTGGATTTTAGGCTAGTCCCTGTATTCTCAATCCTGGAGTGGTACCTCCAGCAAAGTGCCAACAGTGAAGATTTGGGGTGATTTCCTCTCAATTCCTGTGTAATCCCCAGGAGATGAAGTAAAAGGAGATCTCCCCGAGATGGCAAAGGCAGCTAAAAAAAACAAAAAACAAAAACAAAAAAACTTATAAAGCTTTCAATTCCTTTTCTGTCTTAATTCCAAAACGTTTCAGCTTTACATACACTTTAACTGTTCAGGTGGCCTTTTATCCAATCAATGTAATTGCTGACTTTGGTGTAATACCCATAGCCAACACCACAACTAATGCCCCAAGACACGATACCTGTGGCCACCCACTTGTCCTCGCTTATGGAGGCAAATGGCCCCCCGCTGTCTCCTTGGCATGAGTCTTTCTGCAATTTATTAGCTTCAGCATAACCAGCACAGAACATGTTGTCTGTGAATTTTTCCTTTTTGATTTTACTGGTTGGACCCATGTTTCTTTGTTTTTCTACTAGCTGTTTACGGCATTTGTCCCTTTGAACCATGGGCAAAGCCACAGATTTCAAAATATCTGAAATTTTGTGCCGCTCCGTCATTCCAAATCCACTTACATACCCCACAGTACCGGCATCATACAAGGACTCATCGCCGTCTTCAGGGAGGCAGATGGGAGAGGTGTTCTCATTCATGATTACGGGCTCTTTGAGGCGAATCAAAGCAATGTCATGGTCATGGTACCCAGAGATGTAACTTGGATGAACATGAACTTCCCGAACTGCTAAATTACCTATACTGATTAGCTTCTCCACATCCGTGTCACCAATGAAAACATGTATGTTGTTGACGCTATCTGGGTTTTCTTCATCTTTATTTATCACATGAGCAGCTGTCATCACCCAGTACTCTCCTATCAGAATGCCACCGCCACGCCCAGTTGTGCGCAGTAACACTTGCCAAGGAAAATTCCCCAGTTCTGCGCTGTCACCATTGATAATGCGGCCATGTCCGGTGATGGGATTCGAAGGCTTTCCACACACTGTGTACAAAAAAGCTCACAATTAGTCACCTGACAGCAGAACTTTTTACAAATATAGAACTGATGGTAGAGTTCCTACGATATGTAGGATTGCAGTTTGTTAAAGCAATATCCACCCATATTTAACCCCGTCCATTGGTGCACCTTCAGTGTAAGGTCTGTCAGTGTTAAAGTGTATATATTGCAGCCTACCAGTCCTTAGATGTGGTGGCTGCATTAGTTATCTTTCAGTGTCTGCCAGGGACCTCAGGCTTTAGCGTGACACGCGAGTCTGCGCATATGCGGTATGCCGGGCGCACTAGCATGCAGGCACTAGGACCTGGGCGCCCGCAACGGCGGTCGCGCATGCGCATTCGCGATTGACTGTCCGTTGACTGTCTCCTGCTCTGATCCCTGGCTTGTCTGACCATTCTCCTGTCTTATCCCATACGTTTGACCTTCTGTTGCTCAACCTGGCCTGTGACCTGTTTATCCTTCTGCCTGCCGCATTGCACCGTTCTGCCTCCACCGTTACCGACCGGGCCTGTCTGACTTCGCTCACTCCGCCTCCTCACATCAGGCTCTCACCTGCTACGTACCACCGGCAAGTGCCTCTACCACAGCTGGTTGCACACAGGGGCCGCAACCTGGTTTCGGCCTGCGCCAAGTCCATCCCCACCATCAGGGGCTCTGGTGAACAAGCAGGTCAGGGCTTAGATTCCACGCCCTGGGGAATCTCGGTCTGTGGAGCGCTAGAGGCTACCGCCGGTCGGTCCATAACACTTTCATTTCTGTAGTCTTTATACTTTATCAGTCAGCACAGTGGCTTAGTGATTAGCACTCCTGCCTTGTGGCACTAGGATGCATGTTCTGAACCCAGAGTAGAGTTTGCATGTTCCCCTTGTGCTTGTGTAGGTTTCGTCCCACTCTCCAAAGACATACTGATAGGTTCACTGGCTCCTGTCTAAACTGACCCTTGTATGTGTATAGCTACAGTGCTGTACCCTGCCACTATGTTAGCAGGATGAAAGGTCACAAAGGATGCAGATTGAGGGACTCCAGAATGTCAGTTTTGAGTGGAGAAAATTGGCTTTTATTTCTGTTTTTCTCTGGCATTTGTAATTCTTGGATTGGGTTCTGGAGTCCAGAGGCTTCAAAGAGTTTAGATAAAGCATGTAACACTGGGTCCAGGTTTTACTGGGGACCAGCAGGCTGTGTGTGCAGCTATGCACAGACATTACAATCAAGGGCCTGATGGTGGTTAGGGCTCCACCCGAGAGACAGGGGGTCCCTCCAGAGCTCAGGGCCCATGCAGCATGGAGCTGTGGGAACAGTGCAGACATTGCACATGAGCATAGTAGTGCCGTGAGGTGGTCTGAAGGAACAGACAAGGGCCTAAGGTTGAGGCCAGAGCAGCAACACTGCGAGAGTGAGCTAGGAGGCAGGAGGAAGCACCAGTGTTTTTGTATAGCATTTGAGGAGGAATGCTGAACACCCCTGTAAGGGTAACCTTTTAATATGTGTTGGGATGTGAACTTTTACTTTCTTTATTAAAAGTGAGCCATCAAGCCCTGAAATTGTATTTCCTGGCTGATCTGAACTCACTGGCAAGCACTACGCCTTGAGTGCCCCCCCCCCCATCCCAAATATCACAGCTATGTATTGGAGATAGGAACCTGAGACTTTAAGCTCTTTAAAGGGCAACAACTGATGTGAATATGCAATATGTAAAGTGCTGCATCAATTCCCGGTGCTCCATGTCCTAGAATGACAACAATCACTCATTGCACTGTATCTATGAATGGAGCCATGGTTGTCACTAGGCTACGCTCTTCTCGTCCTCCCATTACATTACATTAGCAAGGATAGCACGGAAGGAAGACTGCCTTTCTGGTAAGACTAAAGGCATTGTACACTTCCAAAAGCTTTCGTTGTTTGTTTGCTTCACCTTGTAATGATGGGTTCGCATGTTGTGGCTGCAGTTTATAGTGTCTGATTGGCTGATTCCCCTATCTCCATGTATTCATTGCCTATCTTGTTCATATTCACTAAAGGTTCAGGCAACTTCTTGTCCAATCCATGCCTTGCCACTTCCTCTGTATTGCATCACAGATGTGGGAGTGCTAATGTGATGAAAGACTGCATGGTGATTTGAGCTCTCTGTTCATTGCTCTGTCTGCTTGTGTATGTGTCAGATCTTATTACTGTGTAGCTCTCACCTGCAGAGCACTAGACTGAGAGATGAAGCTCACAATGTGCGGTGAAGTCTAAGTAAGCTACTTTAGTACAGGAGAGGAGCCTGTAAAGCTGTGTAAGACTGAAGGGAAGGCAGAGGTCAGATTTAAAGCGGTAGTAAAATGCGTTTGAGAAAAAAAAAACAACTTATCCCCATGCAGGGTAAAGTCATGTGTGAGCATGCACTGCATACTAGACCATTATGACAACTTAATAAAAGAGAACACAAGGGGCGCACTCTCCTCGTGCATTAATGTGATAAAAATGGATTTATAAAAAAATAGACAAATGAATAATAATTACAAACCAAGGGTCATGTGAACAGACAAAAAGCCAAAGGTGACAGTCCCAGGCAATAGAGGTCCTATGACAGAGTATGCTAACGTGTTTCAGGAGTTAAAATCTCTTCCTCAGACCTCTATTGCCTAGGACCTTTGGCTCTTTGTTCACATGACCCTTGGTTTGTGAGTATTCATTTGTCTATTTTTTAATAAATCCATTTTTATCACCGTAATGCACGAGTAGAGTGCGCCCTTTGTGTTCTCTTTTATTAGCATCAAGATTCCCCAATCTTTTAGAGGGCTGCACCCCAGAGAGTGACGGATATCGTGTTTCTGTGGTGCATGAAGACCTGAGCGTTGGTTTTGATTTTGCTTTTTTTATTATGACAGACTTACCTGTGAAATGGATCCCTCCAGCGGCGCCCTGCCACCGCTGACAGGGAATCCATCTTCACCTGGTCCTCCTTCCGGATTTGCCAGCTCCGGACACTAGAATGGCCAATCCACGATGACGTCACTCCCACACATGCTCACAGTAGTCACGGCCGTGGCACAGCTCTCTCAATGAACGGCATGCAGTGCGCATGCGCAGGTGATGTCACTGTCTGCTTCACATCTAAATATCTCTAAATATGCACAATATTTACAGTATCTACAGGTAAGCCTTATTATAGGTTTAGCTGAAGGTACAAAGCAAAAAATAGGAGTTTATTCCCACTTTAAAATCGTTACAAACAAAAAACTGACAGCAGACAAGTAAAGAGGTTTTATGTCTGAAATGGCATACAGAGCCTCATCACACACAAAGCTTTACCTGCTACCAATTTTTTATAATCTGATTTTTTGAAGAAGGAAGGAAAGGAAAAGGAAAAAAGGAAAGGAAAGGAAGAATAAGAAAGAAGGTAAGAAGAAGAAATAAGGAAAAAGAAAGAAGAGGAATGAAGAAAAAGAATAAAGAATATAAAGGAAAAATAATGAAGAAGGAAAAAGAAAGAAGAAAAAAAGAAAGAAAAAAAGAGGGATGAAGAAGAGGAAGAAGGAGAAAGAAAGAAAGGGATGCAGAAGAAGAGGGATAAAAAACAAAGAAGAAGAAATAGAAAGAAGAGGGATGAAGAAGAAGATGGAAGAAAGAAAGAAGAAGAAAGAAGGAAGAAGTAGAAATAAGGAAAAAGAAAGAAGAGGAATGAAGAAAAAGAAGAAAGAATATAAAGGAAAAATAATGAAGAAGGAAAAAGAAAGAAGAAAAAAAAAAAGAAAGAAAAAGAGGGATGAAGAAGAAGAGGAAGAGAGAAGAAGGAGAAAGAAAGAAGAGGGATGAAGAAGAAAGAAGAGAAAAAGGAAAAACAAAGAAGAAAGAATTAGAAAGAGAAGGAAGAAGAAGAAGGAAGAAGAGGGAGAACAAGTAAGAGAAGAAGAAGACGAAGAAGCAGAAGAAGGAGGAAGAAGAAAGAAGAGGGATGAAGAGGAAAGAAGAAAAAAGAAAAAAACAAAGAAGGAATAAATAGAAAGAGAAGGAAGAAGAAAGAAGAAGAAAGAAGCAGAAGAAAGAAGAAGAAGAAGGAAGGAAGAAGAAGGAAGGAAGAAGTGACAAGAAGAAATAAGGAAAAAGAAAGAAGAGGGATGACGAAAAAGAAGAAAGAATATAAAGAAAAAAAGAATGAAGAAGAAAAAGAAATAAAAAGGCATAGAAGAAAAAAGAAATAAGTAGAAGGAAGAAGAAACCCTGATGGTATAACCTGGCCTTCCCCTGTTCAGTCCCGGAGGTGGGTCCAGGACTGTATCTGCACTCTAATATTTACCTGGCACACATATGGGAATAATGGCTCCCCCGTTCTCATCCTTCCAGATTCGATCCTCTGTACAGGTGAACTTAGCTGGAGAACATACAAACATTATGGGATTAGTACAGGTAGCAGGAATTTCTGGAGTCATCATTTTTAGCAAAGATTAGAGCAGCGCCATCTCATTGACTTGAATTGTGCAGGAGAGCTGTAAGGCACAACCACTGGGTAGCGCTGCAAAAGCAAGAAATAAGGTGTAAATACATCAGAATGAATACAGCTGCCACCATGTTCACAGGTAACGTCAAACTATATCTAGAAACAATGGTTTTAAAGTGGAAATCCAGCAAAAAAAAAAAAAAAGAAAAGATTTTTGTAAGTTCGATTGGCTTAGTTTAGTTTTGGTGTCTAACATCCAGAGGGCTGCTGGGGATGCTGTAATTGGCAGTTGTATTCTGTCACAGATACAGTGTGCACTATGATCCCCTGGGCACTGCTACCGTGACTTCCCATCTTGTACATAATAGAGGGTCACTCACTTGGCACCCGGTCCATCCAGAAAAGGTCTTGCATTCTTTTCAATGAATACAAGACATTCTGTGATGGGACGTGGGGTGAACAGAGAAGGATGAACGTTGTGGTCTGTCCTCCTCCAATCACAGAAAGCCTTGTATTCATTACTAATACAAGAAGTTTTCTAAATAGAGGAGGTGCTGAGAGAGCGACCCCCTATCATAGTTGTACAAGACCGGAGGCTCACACTGTATCTAGCATGGAATTCAAATGAAAAATATAGCATCCCCAGCAGCCCTCCAGACAATAAAACCCAAATCTAAGCGGGTCCAATCTATCTTCCCCCTGGAGTTCCCGCTCCTTCAGCCTTGCTACCACTGAGGAGGTTACTAAGGTCTTCTCAGAAGCCCACCTCACCACTTGCCCCCTTGACCCTGTCCCCACACAACTCCTCCAGTAACCCTCCTCCTCCATCCTACGCTCCCTCACCCACATCTTCAATCTCTCCCTCTCTACTGGCGCATTCCCCTCCCCCCTAAAGCACGCACACATCACCCCCATACTCAAAAAACCCTCCCTGGACCCCACCGACCTGAACAACCTTAGATCCATCTCCCTGCTGCCATTTACTTCCAAACTCCTTGAGCGCTTAGTCCATAATCGCCTGAGTTCCCACCTCACCGACAACAACCTCCTTGATCCCCTACAATCTGGCTTCCGTCCCCCACACTCCACCGAAACCGCCCTACTCAAAATCGCTAATGATCTGCTAACCGCCAAAAGCTAATGGCCACTACTCAGTCCTCCTGCTGCTTGACCTCTCCGCGGCCTTCGACACAGTCGACCACCCCCCTCCTCCTTAATAAACTACACTCCCTTGGCCTTAATATGCGCGTCCGGTGAGTGCGCATTGTCTTATCATTACTGCATGGATACCGGACTTTAATGTCACCTGAGCACTATTATTTTATTGACTTTCTGGATCGCATCTCCATTTGAACTCATATATATAAATATATATACAGAGCTCTAGATTTACTAAGGATCATTTATCTACACCCATCCTATCTTATTGATTTACTATTTTTTATTGATTTTATATTGTTTTTAACAATCTCTTGGTTCATTATAGCGCTGCACTTTATATACACTTTAGAAATATGGAAGGGAAATAAAACCTATACCGGGACATATGTACCCCAAGACCCACACTACTAACATGGTGCCCAAGACGTAGTCCCCATAATGTCCCCTCCACCCAAACCCCTTTATAAATAGAACAGTAAAACATAACCTATACCAGGACATAAGTGCCTAGAGACCCACACTACTAGTACGGAGCCCAGGATGTAGATTCCATAATGTCCCCTTGACCCAAACCCCTTTTTAATAACAGAAGGAAAAAAACTTATGTCCAGAAAGCCACACTACTAGCATGGTGCTCAGAATGTACACCCCATAATGTCTCCTCCATCCAAACCGCTTTATAAATACGGCAGGAAAATCAACCTATACCAGGACATAGGTGCCCAGAGACCCACACTACTGGCATGGTGAACAGAATGTAGACCTGATAATGTCCCCTCCACCCAAACCCCTTTTATAAATGTGGCAGGAAAATAAAACTTACTGTATACAGGGAGGGACGAGTACCCAAAAATCTGTTGCTACTAGCATGGAGCCCAGGATGTAGACCCCATAATTTCCCCTCTACGCAAACCACTTTAGAAATATGGAAGGGAAATAAAACCTATACCGGGACATATGTACCCCAAGACCCACACTACTAACATGGTGCTCAAGACGTAGTCCCCATAATGTCCCCTCCACCCAAACCCCTTTATAAATAGAACAGTAAAACATACCCTTTACCAGGACAGGAGTGCCTGGAGGACCACACTACTAGCACAGTGCCCAGGATGTAGACCCCAAATGCCTCTTTCACCCAAACCCCTTTATAAATATGGCAGGAAAATAAAACCTATACCAGGACATAAGTGCCTAGAGACCCACACTACTAGTACGGAGCCCAGGATGTAGATTCCATAATGTCCCCTCGACCCAAACCCCTTTTTAATAACAGAAGGAAAAAAAAAACTTATGCCCAGAAAGCCACACTACTAGCATGGTGCTCAGAATGTACACCCCATAATGTCTCCTCCACCCAAACCGCTTTATAAATACGGCAGGAAAATCAAACCTATACCAGGACATACTGTAGGTGGCCAGAGACCCACACTACCAAGATATAGCCCGATAACTACCCCTTCACCCAAACCCCCTTATAACTCTTAGATTGTAAGCTCCTAGGATCAGGGCCCTCCTAACCCTCTTGTATTGAACTGTATTGTTGCTGTATTGTCTCCCGTTATATTGTAAAGCGCTGAGCAAACTGTTGGCGCCATAAATCCTGTATAATAATATTGTATATAAATCCTGTATAATAATAATAATAATAATAACAGAATAGACCGCCATGTGCGTACCGCTGTCTCTCTGAGTCACTATTTTGTAGAACGGCTCGTTACAGCTGTAGGTGATGGCGGAGAGGTACGTCAGTGTGTTCAGCTCGGTCAGGAAGGCGTACTGACCATTGCGCAGATCATCCGGACTTTTACAGCTTACGACTGCAAAAAAACAGAGAGATGTAATACTGATGATGACTGACTGTGACAGTAACACAGAGTGACACCAACAATACCGAGGCCACGGCATACATGTCAGTGCTGACATCAGGGGCGGAATGACAACTCTGGGCCCCCGGGCAATAGGGGATCATGGGGCCCCTGTGTCCTTGCCCAAACTCAAAAAAGCCTATGAAAAAGGTACCAGGGGCATCTCATGGGCCCCCTACTGACCCCGGGCCCTCAGGCAGTGCCCGAGTTTCCAAATGGTCAGTCCGCCCCTGGCTGACACTGATCGTCATAACTTTCACATCTGAGCCACCAATTATACTCAACAGGAAACGCTATTGACCTAAATAACATGAAAATAATCATATAAAAAGATACAAGAATAAACAATATACTAACTAAGGCCCCATTCATACCTTAGAGTAGATCTTTCAGTAACTTTATAAAGTCTGCATGATAAATACCTGACACTCCACTGTATACAGCAAAAGTATCATTTCTAAAAACAAAAGTCCACTTTTAATCATTAAAAAGCAGTGCATTCCAGTGACATTGCCTAGGCTGAGATGATGTCATCAGTCTGCTGCAGGCAGTAGGAAGCATTTCCTCAGTCTCTCCTCCCCCAGTTAGGAGATTGCTGCATTTTAATGTTGTAGCAAGTCACACGGTTAGAGGCTGCAGCAGGGGGCTGATCTGTGCCTGGAATTTGTTAACATAACTAAGAAGTGCAGTGGTACCAGGATTTACACCAGAGGTTTAACTAGAACCTTCAGGACCCCGATGCAAGAAAACATGAAGGGCCCCCCTTACCACCAGCCCCCCCCCCCCCCCCCCCCCCCCCGCTAACAACCTTTCCTCTGGTCCAGGGGCCCTTTATTAAAGTACCACAGTGGGAAACTTTATTTATTTATTTCAGGTACTTATATAGCACTGTCAATTTATGCAGTGCTTTATATATTGTACATTCACATCAGTCCCTAACCCTCAAGGGGCGTACAATCTAAGGTCCCTAACTCACATTCATACATACGCATACTAGGGACAATTTAGACAGGATCCAATTAACTTACCAGCATGTCTTTGGAGTGTGGGAGGAAACCGGAGTACCCGGAGGAAACCCACGCAGGCAAAGGGAGAACATTCAAACTCCAGGCAGGTGGTGCCGTGGTTGGGATTCGAACCGGTGACCCTAGTACGCCAGATGGACGTGCTAACCACTTAGCCACTGTGCTGCCCACTTTCACATGTTCTGCAGCTGTCTTGGGCCCCCCATGGTGGCAGAACACCAGGGCCCGGTTGCAAGTGCGACCTTTGTGACCCTGGTAGTTCTGCCACTGATTTACATGACTGTGCCATCTTTGAGTTGAGTCAATATCCCGGTTCAGGAAAGGAGATGATGACCAAGGATGATGCCTGAACAAAGATGGCTTCGTCCTTCTGGAAAGGAATGGAAGATGAAGGCATTGTGATCTCTGTAAGAGGTATTAAGTGCCTGGAAGTGTTGACATTACTTTGCATGAATGCATCTAAAGAAGACGTCTCACTATATGCATCATAGTTTCCTCTACCGGGTATAAAGAAGACATAATACTTTTTCCCACATTGATGGCTGATGTGGATGCTGAGCTAGTGAAGGTCGACAGTGCTCCTCCTCCTCCCACCACTGTTCGACCATGTTACTCCAGCAGGCATGCACCCAAGACCAGCACCATTATCATTCATGGGGGAGGGGACGTGACAGCGCGACTGTCCTGGTTCCAGTGGAGCACATACACAGGACTTACCATAGCACAGCAAGATAGGTGCTCACAATAGAGGGGGCGCTAGCAACTGACCTCTGCTTGAGCTCCACAACAGGAGGGCTCACAAATTGGGCTTCGTACAGGGAAGGAGCTCACAAGGAAAAAATAAAATATAGAAAGATGTTCCTTTCTAAAGAATGGCTCAGCGTTTCTTTCTCAAATGGAGATAATTATCGAAACATGACTCAACCAACCAACACGTGACCTTATAGCAGAGCTTTTTTTTTTAGCAGGAACATGAGGGAACGCAGTATGTATGTAATAGCAAGGGGTGCTGGGGTGTGCTGGAGGGTCTATTGATGTTGGCTGCTGGGGGATCTATTGTCACTGGAGAGGATCTATAGTTGTATGGGGGTCTATTGTTGCTGGGGAGGTCTAGTGTTGCTGGTGTGCATCTATTATTGCTGGGAACAGAGTCATATGATGCTGGGGGGGGGTCAGTTGTTGCTGAGAGGGTCTCTTGTTGCTTGGGTGGTATTTTGTTGCTAAGGGGGTCTATTGTGGGGGATGTATTGTTGCTGGGGGGGGTCTATTGGGAACCAAGGGATGGTGCTCGGAGGTGGGTAGGTGGTGGAGACAAGGGATGGTGTTCGGAGGTGGGTAGGGGGTGGAACAAAGGGATGGTGCTCGGAGGTGGGTAGGTGGTGGAGACAAGGGATGGTGCTCGGAGGTGGGTAGGTGGTGGAGACAAGGGATGGTGCTCGGAGGTGGGTAGGTGGTGGAGACAAGGGATGGTGCTCGGAGGTGGGTAGGTGGTGGAGACAAGGGATGGTGCTCGGAGGTGGGTAGGTGGTGGAGACAAGGGGGTGACTTGTAAGGGGAGTTACTGCACCTATTCTCTGAGGAAAAAAACTGCCTTATAGTCATTATGAAACTTTACAATTGTGCACTTTTACAATTTGTGATGACATACGTTAATGTCACAGGCACACCAGCCTTGGGCAAGGTGAGAACTTTGCAATAAAAGAAACCTACCTGCCTGCTCAGTTTACTTTCCGGCACATTGCCTGTGTGATGGAATGGCTCAATTCTTGTGCATGCGCAGGCGTCCTTGTACCAGGGGGAGGTTGTTTTGCAGCATTCTGCAGGACTGTCTTGGGGGTTAAGCAAAGTCTCGGGGTTCAGCAGGTCCAGGCTGTGTCCCAGAGTCCAGTGCAGGAACATATGTTGCTGATTTCTGTGAATTCTTAGCATGTGTCTGCATGCCCCTTCTTGTGTTTTGCAGCAAAATTCATTAAACATGTCAATACACATCAAGACTTTGAAAAGGTGTGAACAGGGCTCAAAGCTAACACTGACAACAACAGTAGCATAAACCGGTAGTCTTACTTTGACATCGGGGCATAGGACGGTGCCAGGTTCCATCTTTCTGACAGAGGGAGGTGAAGGTCTTCAGTTCCTTGTCATTCTGCAGGAGAAGGAGACAGCAAACATACAGTTGTGTTCAAAATAATAGCAGTCAGACATCACTAACCGGATCAATCTCTGTTTTTGGTGGAAATGATATTTCTACATGGCAGATAATTTCCTAGCAGGTGTAGTAGAGTCATAGAAATCCAACAGACCCAACAGTCATGACATGCATGCTGCTGATTGTGTGTCATTGAATCACTCATTGAAAGGGGCGTGTTCAAAATAATAGCAGTGTGGAGTTCTATTAGTGAGGTCATTCATTCTTTGAAAAACAGGTGGCAATTATTGCCCTTATTTAAGGAAGGAAGGCAGCAAATGTTGGACATGCTGCTTACAGTGCATTTCTCTCTGAAATTCTGAGGAAAATGGGTCGTTCCAGACATTGCTCAGAAGAACAGCATACCTTGATTAAAAAGTTGATTGGAGAGGGGAAACATATAAAGAAGTGCAGAAAATGATCGGCTGCTCAGCTAAAATGATCACAAATGCTTTAAAATGGCAACCAAAACCTGAAAGACGTGGAAGAAAGCGAAAAACTACCATTGGAATGGATAGAAGAATAGCCAAAATGGGGCAGACTCAGCCAACAATCAGCTCCAGGAAGATGAAAGAAGGTGTGACGTTCCCTGTGAGGACTGTTACAATTAGAAGACGCCGATGTGAAGCCAAGCTATCTGCAAGAAGTCCCCGCAAAGTCCCACTGTTGGGAAAAAGACGTGTGCTGAAGAGGTTACAATCTGCCAAAGAGCACATTGACTGGCCTAAAGAGAAATGGGGGCAACATTTTGTGGACTGATGAAAGTAAGATTGTTCTTTTTGGATCTAATGGCCGGAGACAGTTTGTCAGACCCCCAAACACTGAATTCAAGCCACAGTACACTGTGAAGACAGTGAAGCATGGTGGTGCAAGCATCATGATATGGGGATGTTTCTCATACTACGGTGTTGGGCCCATTAACGCATACCAGGGATCATGGATCAGTTTGAATACATCAGAATGCTTGAAGAGGTCACGCTGCCTTATGCTGAAGAGGAAATGCCCTTGAAATGGGTGTTCCAACAAGACAACGACCCCAAACACACCAGTAAACGTGCAACATCTTGGTTCCAGACCAACAAGATGGACGTTATGGAGTGGCCAGCCCAATCCCCGGATCTTAATCCAATAGAAAACTTGTGGGGTGACATCAAAAATGCCGTTTCTGAGGCAAAACCAAGAAATAGTGAAGAACTGTGGAATGTGGTCCAATCATCCTGGGCTGGAATACCTGATCACAGGGGCCAGAAGTTGGGGGACTCCATGCAACACAGATGTACAACAGTTCTCAGAAACAGTGCGACTACAACCAAATATTCATGAAGTCATTCAAAGGAAAGCAAAATCTTCAAACATTTCTCAGTTTATATAGTGAATGTTTGAGTTTGTAAAGAAGAACACAAACACTGCCGGGACTTGTAGGTACTCATTCAGAGAACTCTGTGAATGAGTGACATGGCCGTGTGGGTGGAGCCCCGCACAGCCGCCCTGTTTCAAATTTGACAGATAGTAAGGGGAAATTTCTCACCCTGCTATCTGTCAGAGGGAGGGGGGCGGCGGGCGTGTCTGCGGCTATGGGAGCCTGTTACATGTTCCACCCTAAAATGGATGTAACATGTTCTCAAAAGTGAACTTATCCTTTAGGTTTGCCTTACTTTTATTGTAGGTGGGTACTGACTAATCATATACACATTATGGCCACATTTTTGTGACCACCTGACCATTACAACTTTGTTGGACATTCTAAAAAACCATGGCCATTAATATGGAGTTGCTCTCCATAGTTGTTATAACAGCCTCCACTTTTCTGGGAAGGCTTTCCACAAGATTTTGGAATGTCTGTGGGAATTTGTGCCCATTTATTGAGGTATGGTACTGATGATCTGGCTCACCATTGGGAGTTCCAATTCATCCCAATGGTGTTCAGAAGGGTTGAGGTCAGGGCTTTGTGGAGTTCCTCCACAAACTAGTCGAACCATGTCTTTATGGAACTGGCTTTGTACACAGGGGCAAAAGAAAAGGGTCCGTTACCACAAGGTTGGAAAAACACAGTTGTCTAAAGCGTCTTTGTATGCTGTACAATCAATGGGACCTTTCATTTGAGACACCTGAGCCTAGTCATTCAGAAGGATGTTTACATGCTTTTGGCCATATCATAGGTGTGATGGTCAGGTGTCCACATACTTTTGGCCGTATAGGGAATCTTACAGAGACTCCAGCGGCAAGAATTCCCAAAAATACTTTGTGTCTCACACTGTTTTCCATATGGCCATCATAAAGATACTGCTGTCTTACAGGTAGATCTATTTTATGGAGAATCCATCAGGAGGTTGCAACACCAATAGAACAATTGAGAGTGAGATTGGTCAAAGTAGGAATTCTGGTAGGCAAGCTATACCACCCTTACAAACATGTGACCTTATTTTAGCAGCCCAAAAGACAGAAGACATAAGAAGGACTTAACACTTTTAGGTGGAGTACATCTTGCCATTGCAGTTTCCCTGTTGGAGTTAGATCAGCTCATGGGGGGAATCACAGATTGGGGGGCTCAGTCACAGATGGGGTGCGGCTTTTGGGTGAATGCTCCATTGATGGAGTGCTAAGACGCAGTTAAACATAGCAGTTTAACTAAAGCAGGATAACTTAAACAGCAGGAAGATACAACAACAGCAAGAAGCTCTACTGCACGCTGAACAAACTCCAAGCAAGCACCCTGGGAAACATCTCTTACAAGTCTGAGACCCACTCTGTGTACCTTTTTAATATGTCCCATCTACTCCTCCTTTTCATATTACTTTCGTGCGTTCCCAAAATCTCACTTCTTTACCCCTCTGCTCCACCCCAAAACTTGTACATCTCCCCCTCACTGCTACCATCTCCCTACTACTGCTCTCATCACCTCCTGCTGATACTTTACTCTCCTGCTGACCCAAACACCAGGACTGGAAGGCATGTACACTCGTGTACATCCCACTCCCATGTTACGTTCCTCACCCTTCTTCTTCTCCTAACCTCTGGGGATATCTCCCCAAACCCTGCTCCTCCACTATCTCACCCCCACACCAGGCGTCCTCTTTCTTCCGGGAATAGCCGCAATCCCCTCAATTTAATATCGGTTCCCGTGCTCCCAAAAACCACCCTCCCTTTTTCAAGTGCGCTCTGGAATGCCCGCTCTGTCTGTAATAAGCTCACCTCTGTCCATGACCTTTTTGTCACCCGCTCCCTTAACCTACTAGCAATTACAGAAACCTGGCTTCAAGCAGCAGATTCTGCTTCTCCCGCAGCACTTTCCTATGGAGGCCTCCTCTGGACCCACTCACCCAGACCCAGTGGTCGCAAAGGTGGTGGAGTTGGTTTGCTTCTATCCCCACTGGGCACCTTTTAAGTCCTCCATAACCCTCCCTCTCTATCCTTCTCTTCTTTCGAGACTCACTGCATCGGCGGCTGTTTCTCCCATTTCTCTGAGGATTGCAGTGATCTATCGGCCTCCTGGACCGGTGTCCCGCTTTCTTGATGATTTCTCTGCCTGGCTACCCTACTTTCTCTCCTCTGAACTACCCACTATTATTCTCTGAGATTTTAACATCCCTATTAATGTCAACAACCCGCCTACATCCCAACTCTTCAACCTAACCTCATCTTTTGCATTAGCACAATGTATACAGTCCTCCACTCACTCTGATGGGAATACATTAGACCTTGTTTTCTACCGTCTTTGCACTCCCTACAACCTCAAAAAACACCCCCTTTCCTCTCTCTGATCACAATCTCATCACCTTCACAGTCTCCTCATCTTCAAACACCTATCCCTCCAAGCAGCAAACAATTACCCGCAGAAACCTTCACAACTTGAACCCTTTCCTTTCCACATTGCAACTGACCAACTCTATGACAGAATCTCTCCCCTGTCCTGCCCTGACCTGGCCACTGCTGTCTATAACAGTTCGCTTTTATCTGCATTAGATTCACTTGCTCCTCTAACTACACGAAGCATCAGGCCACGACCGTTACAACCTTGGCAGACTGACGACACCAGAAATCTTAAATGACATAGTCGTGCGCTGGAGCGATTGTGGCGTAAAACCAAATCTCAACAAGCATTCACCCTATATAAATCTGCTCTCTTAACACACAAGTCCTCCCATCATGCTGCCAAACAAGCCTACTTTGTCACTCTTATTAATACCTTGTCATCCAGTCCTCGTCGTCTCTTCTCTACTTTTAACTCTCTACTTTCTCCACCCCCACCCAGTACCTCATTCACTGCTCACGAGATTGCAAATCATTTCAAAAACAAGATTGATGCAATTCGTAGGGGCATCGCCACTACACAGACATCCATCTCACTTAGCATACCTTATACTAAACCTCCCTCAACACTTTCCTCTTCTGACCTCGCTACTACCGAAGAGGTCACTAAGGTTTTCTCAGAAGTCTGTCTCACTACCTGCCCCCTGGATACTGTCCCTTCACAACTACTACGGTCACCCTCTTCTTCCATCCTATGCTCCCTTACTCACATCTTCAATCTCTCCCTCTCTACTGGTGCCTTCCCCTCCCCTCTAAAGCACGCACAGATCACTCCCATACTTAAAAAGCCCTCCCTGGACCCCACCGACCTGAACAACTTAAGACCCATCTCCCTGCTGCCATTTACCTCTAAACTAGAACGCTTAGTCTACAATCGCCTGAGCTCCCACCTCACCGACAAAAGACTTCTTGACCCTCTACAGTCTGGCTTTCGCTCACTACACTCCATTGAAACTGCCCTACTAAACCTCACTAATGATCTACTAACTGCTAAAACCAATGGCCACTACTCCGTACTTTTACTACTTGTCCTCTCTGCGGCTTTTGATACGGTTGACCAACCCCTCCTCCTCAAAAAACTCCACGCTCTTGGCCTCAGAGACTCCGCTCTCTCCTGGTTCTCCTCCTACCTATCGCAGCGCTCCTTCAATGTTACCTATAACACTGCCTCCTCCTCTTCACTCCCTCCTTCTGTAGGGGTCCCTCAAGGTTCTGTCCTTGGACCCCCCCTCTCTTCTCCATCTACACCTCCTCCCTTGGTCACTTGATAAACTTGCACGGCTTAATTTACCATCTCTATGCTGATGACACACAAATCTATCTTTCTACCCCTCACCTCACCCCTTCAGTCTCCTCTCGCATTACTAACCTACTAAATGACATATCGGCATGGATGTCACTCCACTTCCTCAAACTCAATCTTTCCAAAACTGAGCTCTTAGGCTACGTTCACACTAGCGTTGTGTGCAGGCGGCAGAGAGGCATTTGGGAAGCGTTTTTACCGTTTCCCAAACGCTTCTGCCAATTCTGCACATTACAGCACATGGTGCTGTTCTAACGGGAGTGTTTGCATCGCGTCGTGTTGCGGCAAAACGGACGCTTCTGGTCGAGTCAGGAGGCGTTGAAACCTCCTATTCTAGTCTATGGTGCCGCTCCACAAACGCCCGGCCGGCGGCATTTGCGGTGCGGTTGCGACGCGTTTGCAGAGTGGTAACACCATTCAAACTGCATTATAGGCGTTTGTGGGGCGTTTTTAACACTCGGCAAATGCCTAGCAACTGCCGCTAAACCGTGCATGCGGCGTTTGCGGAGCGTGCCAAACACTATAGGGGCGTTTGGCAAGCGTTGGTAAAACGGCCAAGTGTGAACGAGACCTTAGTATTCCCCCCATCCCGTGTCCCCTCCCCTGACTTCTCCATCAAGATCAATAACACAGTCATCAGTCCCTCCCCTCATGCCAGGGTACTAGGTGTCATCCTAGACTCCCATCTGTCCTTTCAGTTCCAAATCCAATCACTGTGCAAATCTTGTGGACTTCACCTCCACAACATCTCCAAGTTACGACAGTTCCTAACCTCGGAAACCACTAAGCAACTTATTCGCTCCCTTGTCATATCTCGCCTTGACTATTGTAACTCCCTCCTTACTGGCCGACCTCATCGCAGGCTATCCCCTCTTCAGTCTATCATGAATGCTGCTGCCAGAATCAGACACCTTACTAACTGTTCTGTATCAGCCATCCCTCCCTGCCAATCCCTCCACTGGCCTCCACTCAGTGTCCTCCATCCCTCCCTGCCAATCCCTCCACTGGCTTCCAGTTGCCCAACAGATAAAATTCAAAACACTAACAATAACATATAAAGCCATTTATAACTGTGCCCCAAAATACATCACTGATCTTGTCTCTAAATATCACAAAAACGGACTCTCTGCTCCTCGCATGACCTCCTACTCTCTAGCTCCCTTGTCTCCTCCTCCCATGCTCATCTCCAGGACTTCTCCAGAGCTTCCCCCATGCTCTGGAACTCTCTACCCCAATTTATCAGACTATCGCCTACTCTGCTCACTTTTAGGCGAACTCTGAAAACCTATCTCTTCAGGGAAGCCTATCCTGCCCTCAGCTAATAATGGAATTATTACTCTTCCTACCAGTCCATCCCCCACAGTTACTACCTTTTGTACCACTAGCCCCTCCTTCCTAGATTGTAAGCTCCAAGGAGCTGAGCCCTCAAATCCCTCTTGTATTCAACTGTATTGCTGCTGTATTGTCTCCCGTTATATAAGCGATGAGCAAACTGTTGGCGCTATATAAATTCTGTACAATAATAATAATATGCATGCAATCAAATCCCAACAAACCGTACAAGACAGATTTCCAGAAGCTTTTCAAACGGTTATACTGACCTCCATCAGCTGATATCCTGTTTTGCAAGACACCACAATATAGTCTCTCATCTGATACTCCCTCTGCACAGGACTGACAATGGAAAATGTATCCAGGGTGGTGGGAGTTGGACATTTGGCAGCTGGGGGAAAATAAGTAAAATTTTAGGAATCTGTTATCATCAGAGCTGAACTGCTACAGGTTACAAATGATATGTTCTTAATAATTACCTTTTCCTGGGAATAAGTCTTGGAGCTACTTAAAGTGGAACTTCACTTAGGGCCCCTCTACGACAATATCAAATGATATTTTCGCTAAAATGGCTCGGCTGCAATGCTATGCTTCACAGCCATGGCAGAAATTATACCCCCATTGAACAAGACCCATCAAAGGTCACTAGCACTGCTCTGTAAGCGCTCCGCATCCGTGGGCAAAGCACGTGGTAGCAGAGTGCTAGTGCGGGGTTAAAGCAGGTGGTGAGGAGGCAATATGCCTCCTCACTGCCTGTTAAATGCTCTCTAAGGAGTGATCCAAATGCTGACCGCTCTTCAGGGAGCAAAGCACATTTAACTGAGTCCTTAGATTATTTTTTTATTTTCTTAGAATTGTAATTTGTTTAAATTTATTTTTGGCACCTTTGGGGAGTGGGGGGTAGGGAGGGGGGCCGGGGGGAGAAGTAGGTACATGATTTTGACAGGTATCCGCTCCCCACTTCTGCAGCGATCACCTAAGCGATCAGAATTGGAAGTGGTCCCCCCCCCTATATTCCCTGTAGTCTTTTGTAACAAGTGAAGACTACGGGACAATTCACAAGGCGCAGCGCAACTCGCACATGAGCAGTGGGCACCTGGCTGTGAAGCCGCAGCTGTCACAGATGGGTGCCCACACTTAAGATGCCGGCATTGGGGTTAGAGGACGGCCGGTGAAACTGGGTGCGGTGAGGACACCGCTGGATCAAGGGACAGGTAAGTGGCTGTTTTTTAAAAGTCAGCAGCTACAAAATTGTAGCTGCTGACTTTTATTTTTTTAACTTTTTGACTGCAGCTCCACTTTAAATTAAGTACTCTGTGATTCGGGTATTTTCCTTATATTTATTGATGTTACTTTTTGCAATCAGGGGTTAGTTCAACTTTTTGTAAGGTCCCTCCCTTGGGTGGGTATGGTGGGTGGAGTTAGTAACTTTATATGTTATGGGGGTAGTAAGAGCCTGAGGCAAAGGGTGGGAAAAGGCTACCCCTTTATAACTTTCTGTGGCCTTTGGAAGTGAACCCTTCGGGGTAAGTCCATAACAAGCTCTGATGGAGAACCCACCTACAGGGGACAGTGAGGACCATGGAGGAGCTGGGCAGCCATCCTGTGGTATTAATGGACTTGCACTGTGTGGAACATGTATGTCAGGGCTGGAAGAGCAAATGTGAAGATCATGTGTCCAAACAACCATTAATTAACCGCGGATAGGGACAAAAGTCTAAACCTGTGACCAGGATTGAACAGCTGTCCCTAAAGGCAGGTAACTGCTGGATATGCAGATATATGCTTACAGCCACAGCTCCTTTCAGCCTGTCATTGAGTCCAACAGGCTGAGCAGCTGGGATCCAGTCTTGGGTATCTGCAGGATACTACACCGATGTAGGACTTGTGAATAAGCCTCAGGACTTGTGAATCAGCCTGTAAAACTACCGTCATTTTTGTCTTCCATGTTGACTCCAGTCCAATGCATATCATGAAAATGGCAAAATCTCCTGATTTTTTCCAAGGTTTGGGGGAAGTGAAAACAAGCTTTGGGGAAAGTGAAAATCAGTTTGGTTCATCCTTCCTGGCCATACACACAAGGAAACATGAAGACGAGCGGTGGTGTGTAAAGCATTTACAATGTTTCAGCAAAACTTTTTGGCAAAGCCTTCTTGAAGCCATTAAAGGCAAGACATGGCTCTGGTAGTTGGTGCACTGTGGGGGCATTTGACTATAATGAAGCGGGTAAATCAATTATAATGAGGCTGAAGGATGGACAGCGCCTAGTCTTACTTTGGGTCGTGTAGCGCAGTTTCCACCCTTTGCTGTCACCGGAGTCATCAGTGTGGAATAGGATGTCCACCTTGTTGCTCAGAGTCTTCAGAGTTCCAGGAGACTTCCGTCCACAATACGTACCCAGCAGGGTGCCGCCGGCAAACACCTGAGAGCAGGGACAAGAATGTTAGAGCCAAATAGAGCACAGCACAGTGTTATCACCTACTTTACTGCACTGGGGTTGTAGGCTCAGTTACGACCAGGGACACCACTCTCTTTAACTAAGCCCTTAGTTGTGCACTTATATGACTGTGTTTTATGAGAATTTCAACTCTTCTGAGGCTGATGTGAATTTCTCAGGGTACTCTGTGAAGCACTGTTGGTGCCATATTACATACAAAAATTGGAAATAGTTACTGTGGAGGCACACTGCTAGATGGAAGTAGAAAACAGCAACAGAGTAAGGTAGAGGACGTGTGTGGCTAGGTGCAGCATGGTGTGGCAGCAGTAATGACACAGAGGCTGGTTGCAGATAACTCAAACTTGTATTGCAGAAAATACTCAATTATAAACAACCCCAGCGGGAGAGCTCCGCTCCGGGTAACCTCTCACAGTGCTGTATAATGTACAGATGCAGCTGGTAAAGATGCACCGACAGTGTCTGTCTCAAGGGGGTAAAATGCGGCCTGTCCAGCCCCAATTGGGAGGCTTCCATGCAGGATTGTGTGTCCTTATCCTGTTCTCACACGTCAGGAACCTTTCCTTCCCATTAATCACTTTTCTCTGACAGACGGATCCTCTTTTCCTACTCTGGCCACCTCACAAAATGCATGCCAGATCCTAGCTGCAGGGACTTATAAAGGCTCTGCTGACCTAAGATGGCCACCAGGGGTCATCTGAAGGCAATGCAGCCAACCAGTTATTTATCAAACTCATATTCTCTGAAATAAAATACACTAAAATGGATTTTAATGCAAAAAAACACATTACACCAATTTGTTTGGCAAAATATAAAAGATGGGGTTGCATCGAGTAAATAGATACCAAATATGTCAAGTCTGAAAATTGCACATGTCCATGTAACTGGAAAAAGGTATGGTACCCCAAATTCTCCATAGGCAACACTTTAAAAGCCTTTACAGGTCATCAGTTTAGAGTAAACAAAAGAGTGATAGCCCCACAATTATTGTTCTCACGCCGCCGTTCACGATACCTCACAGGTGTGGCGCAATTGCTATTTACATACACGTGCTTGCCCTTCGCTAAGCTTTTTATATGGGGTGTGTGTGGGGGTGACAGGGGTACTTTTAATTTTTTTTCTTTATTTTATGTCATTCTTTTTCGTAATTTTTTTTAACCTTTTTTACTATCACAAGGGAGCTAACAAGGTGCAAACAATGTAGTCCAGTTAGGATTTCCATCTAATTTAATCATTTTTATTTGTCAATTCGCCTGAAAGATTTCACGTTCATTGTTTTTCACCGAGCAAGTTCATCAAACCAGACCTGACCCAGCGTCCATTTATGTGCAATGGAAATTAAATATTCACCAACTGTTTTGTTTATCGAATTGCGACCTTCGTGGCCCTGATACTTTACTCTGTGTTCTGTCTCCCAAAAGAAAAACTCCGGCCTTAAAAAAGAATTATTAACATAATATCAGCCTGTCCCTTCACTTATTATTTTAGTTGTCGAATTTGGGTCCACTTTTATCCTTCAATAAGTTTTTTAGCACAAAAAAAGAAGAAAAGAAGACAAAAAATATACAAAATATGAACATTCAGTGTGTACAATGTCCATATGACTGCATAATATAGGCCGTATACGGTATATGCCAAGTAGGCACCACAATACAAGGTAAGTTCCAATAAGTAGACAGAAACACAAGGACCCTGACAGATATCCAAGACAATTCAAGTAAACATAGAATTGAAAAAGTATCTCATGAGAGATGTATATGTAACCTGACGTAACTTTGAAAAATAAGGATAAGAACCTAATTCTTTCCTTCATAAGAACCATCCCAACTTATCCAGAATAATAGCCATTAGGTGCCCTTATAAAAACAATTCAAAGACTATGAAAAAGGCGTGGTAGGTAAAGAATTAGGAAAATAGAAAAGGAAAGAATGGTAAAAAAGGTAAAATGCCTGACCACAATCCCACACTCCCCTACTCACCGACCAGCATACTAAGATGGACATTGCACAAGATGGACTAAGATGGACATTACACAAGATGAACTAAGATGGACATTGCACAAGATGGACTAAGATGGACATTGCACAAGATGGACTAAGATGGACATTGCACAAGATGGACTAAGATGGACATTGCACAAGATGGACTAAGATGGACATTGCACAAGATGGACTAAGATGGACATTGCACAAGATGGACTAAGATGGACATTGCACAAGATGGACTAAGATGGACATTACACAAGATGAACTAAGATGGACATTGCACAAGATGGACTAAGATGGACATTGCACAAGATGGACTAAGATGGACATTGCACAAGATGGACTAAGATGGACATTGCACAAGATGGACTAAGATGGACATTACACAAGATGGACTAAGATGGACATTGCACAAGATGGACTAAGATGGACATTGCACAAGATGGACTAAGATGGACATTGCACAAGATGGACATTACAAGATGGACTAAGATGGACATTGGACAAGCAGCACAACAATGGATCCCATTTTTTTTTAAGTTTGGCATGTTTATCCCAAAGGACACTAGGTTTTCAAGCAACATGATCCAGGTAGGTTTAGGCTTTATTATAGATAGGTCTATCATAGGGATCTTCCAAGCATTGGCAACAGAAATTTTAGCCATCAAATTGTATTTGGGAATGCTGTCCACAGGTTCGTGTAGAACAGCTACATGAGCTTGTTTTAGGAAGATTGATCATTGTCACTGAATACATTAAAGTTTACACTCTCGTCCAAAAGTGCCTAAGGCTACGTAAAGTCCATCATGTGTGGAGCATTGTTCCCTCCTGGCCAAAACCTCGAAAACACCTAGAGGACACCTCGAGGGACATTTTGGGTAGCCTGGCTGGGACTAGGTACCAACGTGAGAGGACCTTATAACTAGCTTCTATCAAATGTACATTCCTAATTCCCTTTTTTATTCTAATGGTCCATACATTCCAGTCCTTGACTTTAGGTCCACTTTTGACAAAGTCTGCAGGCATCATCCAGGACTCAACATTTGTTGACCTAGGAGGAACCCTTGAAGTGACTTTCAAGGGCTAAAATTAATTCATCGGTGGTTGGTGGCAAGAATGCCCCTTTCATTGATGGTCAGTGGAAAGAATGCTTCTTACATTGGTGGTCATTGAAAAGAACATCTCCTACATTGCTGGTAACTGGGAAGAATGCCCCTTATATTGGGTGTTATTAGAAAGAAAGCCCTTTCATTGGTGGTCAGTGGGAAGAATGTTCTTTAAATTGGTCGTCAGTGGCAAGAATGTTACTTACACTGGTGGACAGTGGAAAGAACATCTCCTACAATGCTGGTCAGTGAGAAGAATGCCCCTTATATTGGCAATCAAGGGGAAAAATGCTCTTTACATTGGTGATCAGTTGGAAGAATGCCCCTTACATTGATGGTCAGTGGGAAGAATGCCCCTTACATTGGTGGTCAGTGGGAAGAATGCTCCTTACATTGGTGATCAGTGGGAAGAATGTCCCTTACATTGGTGATCAGTGGGAAGAATGTCCCTTACATTGGTGGTCAGTGGGAAGAATGTCCCTTACATTGGTCAGTGGGAAGAATGTCCCTTACATTGGTGGTCAGTGGGAAGAATGTCCCTTACATTGGTGGTCAGTGGGAAGAATGTCCCTTACATTGGTGGTCAGTGGGAAGAATGTCCCTTACATTGGTGGTCAGTGGGAGGAATGTCCCTTACATTGGGGATCAGTGGGAAGAATGTCCCTTACATTGGTGGTCAGTGGGAAGAATGCTCCTTACATTGGTGGTCAGTGGGAAGAATGCCCCTTACATTGGTGGTCAGTGGGAAGAATGCTCCTTACATTGGTGATCAGTGGGAAGAATGTCCCTTACATTGGTGATCAGTGGGTCAGTGGGAAGAATGTCCCTTACATTGGTCAGTGGGAAGAAATGATCCCTTACATTGGTGGTCAGTGGGAAGAATGTCCCTTACATTGGGTGGGAAGAATGTGTCCCTTACAGTGGGAAGAATGTCCCTTACATTGGTGGTCAGTGGGAAGAATGTCCCTTACATTGGTGGTCAGTGGGAGGAATGTCCCTTACATTGGGGATCAGTGGGAAGAATGTCCCTTACATTGGTGGTCAGTGGGAAGAATGCTCCTTACATTGGTGATCAGTGGGAAGATTGTCCCTTCCATTGGTGATCAGTGGGAAGAATGTCCCTTCCATTGGTGATCAGTGGGAAGAATGTCCCTTACATTGGTGGTCAGTGGGAGGAATGTCCCTTACATTGGAGGTCAGTGGGAAGAATGTCCCTTACATTGGGGATCAGTGGGAAGAATGTCCCTTACATTGGGGTCAGTGGGAAGAATGTCCCTTACATTGGTGGTCAGTGGGAAGAATGTCCCTTACATTGGTGGTCAGTGGGAAGAATCTCCTTACATTGGTGATCAGTGGGAAGATTGTCCCTTCCATTGGTGATCAGTGGGAAGAATGTCCCTTACATTGGTGATCAGTGGGAAGAATGTCCCTTACATTGGTGATCAGTGGGAAGAATGTCCCTTACATTGGTGATCAGTGGGGAAGAATGTCCCTTACATTGGTGATCAGTGGGAAGAATGCTCCTTACATTGGTGATCAGTGGGAAGAATGTCCCTTCCATTGGTGATCAGTGGGAAGAATGTCCCTTACATTGGTGATCAGTGGGAAGAATGTCCCTTCCATTGGTGATCAGTGGGAAGAATGTCCCTTACATTGGTGATCAGTGGGAAGAATGTCCCTTACATTGGTGGTCAGTGGGAAGAATGCTCCTTACATTGGTGATCAGTGGGAAGAATGTCCCTTCCATTGGTGATCAGTGGGAAGAATGTCCCTTACATTGGTGATCAGTGGGAAGAATGTCCCTTCCATTGGTGATCAGTGAATGTCCCTTCATTGGTGATCAGTGGGTGGGAAGAATGTCCCTTACATTGGTGATCAGTGGGAAGAATGTCCCTTCCATTGGTGGTCAGTGGGAAGAATGTCCCTTACATTGGTGATCAGTGGGAAGAATGTCCCTTACATTGGTGGTCAGTGGGAAGAATGTCCCTTACATTGGTGATCAGTGGGAAGAATGTCCCTTACATTGGTGATCAGTGGGAAGAATGTCCCTTACATTGGTGATCAGTGGGAAGAATGTCCCTTACATTGGTGGCCATTGACAAGAATACCCCTTACGTTGGTGGTTAGTGGAAAGAATGCACCTCTATAGACAGCTATAGAAAGAAGATCTGCAAAGTAGTGTTGGACCTGTATTTAGACAGACACCCTCAGCTGGGAGGTAAATCAGCCACAAGCACTGGAGGAATTCTGCTTAAGAAAGGCTGATCCAGACGAGAACATATTGTATGTGAAACGTTTTCCACTGCATACCAATCTGTAAAGTTACAGTGTACTAGTAGCTTAAAATATGCTGTGGAATCTTCAGCTTGTCCATTCAGATAAAGCCTTGTATTCTGTGACAAGGATACAAGTCATTTTCTGAATAGAGGAGTTAAAGAGCAAGCAACCCCTATCATTACTGTACTGGCAGCAGAACTCACAGCAGCTGACCCAGAAGATCAAAGCCAACAATGGTATGTAGCATTATACAACCAAGATTGTTAGCTTCCCCAGCAACCCTCCATATACCAAGGATTATAGGTAACTAAGCTGGACAGCTTTCGTATGCGTTACTGACCAATAACTTTCCAATTTTCTGATAAATCAGTAGCAGGCACTATAATTTAAAATATCACAAAAATGTAATTCTCTTACAACAATCAACACTTAGGTGCCTATTTATAAAATTGCATGTAAATTTGTTCTTTGCAAATACGGCAAAATTAATGTTCTTAGGCTACATCATCTGCAACTTAAATGTATAAATGCAGAAAATACAGCAATAAGGCCATCAGATGGAGCTGAGGAGCATAGTTATTTTCTATTATAGCCTGCACCATCTAGAGGCCATAATGTGGTAATTTTGCATAAAGCGGAGTTCCACTCACTCTGTAAAAAAAAAATAAAACAGCCACTCACCTGTCCCTTGATCCTGCGGTGTCCTCCCTGCAGCCCGTTTCACCAGCCGCCTGGTGTTCCAGTCACTGGCATCTTCAGCGTGTGGGAACCCAGCTTTGACAGCTTGCGGCTTCACAGCCGGGTGCCCACTGCGCATGCGCGAGTAGCGCTGCGCTTCCTGAATGGGCCCGTAGTCTTCTGGGACCTGTCATGTGCCCCAGAAGACTACAGGGAGGGAGGGAGTGAGGACAACTTCTGCTTCCGATTGCCTAGGTGATCGCAGCAGAAGTGAAAGCGGGTACCTGTCAATTTCGGATACCCGCTCCCCAAAAGGTGCCAATCCTTAATAGGGAGCAGGGGACCAGTCTTTAAAGCGGAAACTTCCCCTTTTGGGTGGAGCTCCACTTTAAAAACCATTTGATTTTGCCCAATTTACCCAGAACTAATTCACATGCAGTTTTATTACATTCAGCGCTATGCAATTCTTTTATCAATACCCCCCTAATGAATCATCCTCTTCTGAATACGTTATATTATATCAGCACTTGTTAAATGAGGGTATTTGTCAGACTGGATAGAATACAGACACGGAGGAGAAACCCCACAAAACTATATGTACTACAAATGATAAAATACGAAGCCTCAAATGTGTAAAAATGTCAAAATCACAACAGGTATACATTAGAAAAATAAATGTGTACACCCTTTAATAAGGACCTGAACTCAACTGATTTGCTATCTTATAGGGCACATCTACCTGGCACTGTGCTGTTAAGCAGCACCCTGAAAATTTTACCTTTTGTCCTAAATTTCTCCTGAAAAATAGCAGTGCACTTCCTGTGCCTTGATCCTCATAGCTGCATATCTGCAGTGTGAGATGATCTAAGGCACTGACGCCTCTGTCTGATAGTCTCAGGAAATTTGGATTTCTTTTTGGGATATCACTATTCTGATGATCACTGTTCTCTTTGCTGGAGAGGAAGCTGTTCCTGGTGACTTGTAGTACAAGGATCTCCTTGCTTTATTCTGTGGATCTGGGCTTCCTCAACAAAACCTGCTGTTTCTTGACCACTCTCTTACCAGTCTTTAGCTATCCAGTCATCAATAGACAGCTCTGACATGAGGAAGCAAAACCCTGCCTCTACTAAAGATGGCTGCCTCCACACAGAGCAAAGTATGGCAAGTCAGTAATGAGGGAGCATCAGCAGTAGGAAGGCCATAGGAAATATTATTGACTATTCCTTTGCCCTCTTCTTGCCTTTTTGAGAACAGCTTCCACAGTTGAGGTCCTGCTCAAACGTGGTCCTAAAGCTGGTCACACATCTTCCAATTTGATTGCACAATATCCATTAGGTTTACCAACAGCTTTGTAGCATAAGGACTCGCCTGATTATTTAAATAGGTCATTGGACTGCTCAGGTCTTGGTAAATGTTGAGTAGGTACTGAGCTTGTAAAGTAATATTGCACGTTGAGTGGCCACCTTTAGTCAGTAACATTGGAATGTAATGAGGGAAATAATTATAGCCTCACCTTTAAAGTGTCGTAGGGACATGGAGCCCGCGGGTGAAAGTCTATGTCAAAGGTTTCCACGAAAGAGATGGAAATTTGGAACCCTTCTTCCACGCGGATGCTGTAGTTGCAGTTGAGGTCTGCAGGGTATGGCTTGGGGTATCCTGGGCTGGAGATGTATCCAGATTCCTCCGTGAACAGCTGACTGCTACAATCCACTGAATGAGAAGACACAATATACAGAACTGTCCATCTATTATCCTTTTTACAATGTTCCATAAGAAGCTTAAGGGTCCCAGAACAAAGACACGCTGACACTTGGGGCTCCAGAACAAAGACACACTAACACTTGGGGCTCCAGAACAATGACACACTGACACTTGGGGGTCCAAAACAATGACACACTGACACTTGGGGGTCCCAGAACAATTACACACTGACACTTGGAGGGCCAAACAATGACACACTGACACTTGGGGTCCAGAACAATGACACACTGATGCTTCAAGGTCCAAAACAATGACACACTGACAATTGGGGTCCTAGAACAATGAAACACTGACACTTGGGGATCTCAAAGCAATGACAGACTACCACTTGGTGTCCTAGAACAATGAAACACTGACACTTGGGTGTCCTTGGACAATGACACACTGACACTTGGGGGTCTGTAACAATGACACACTGACACTTGGGGGTCTCAAAACAATGACACACTACCACTTGGTGTCCTAGAACAATGACACACTGACACTTGGGGGTCTGAAACAATGACACACTAACACTTTGGGGTGCAGAAAAATGACACACTTTGAGGTCCCAGAACAATGACACAATGACACTTGGGGGGTGCAGAACAATGACACAATGCAACTTGGGGGTGCAGAACAATGACACACTTTGAGGTCCCAGAATAATGACACACTAACACTTGGGGGTGCAGAACAATGACAGACTTGGAGGTCCCAGAACAATGACACAATGACACTTGGGGGTGCAGAACAATGCAGACTTTGGGTCCCAGAACAATGACACAATGACACTTGGGGGTGCAGGTCCCACACTTTGAGGTCCCAGAACAATGACACAATGAAACTTGGGGTCTTGTCTAAACAAAGCTGAACATCACTGATATCAGACATACCTTTGCAGGTTCTCTTGTCATTCTGTAGTTTGTATCCTGGCAGACAGGAGCAGACGTAGCCCCCTATATAGTTGTGGCAGACATGCTGGACATGGTGGGGTCCATGACGCACTGATATCATTGGGCAGAGCACACTCATCATTGTCTATAGGGGGACAACAGAGGGTGCAAGATGAAAAATTAGAACATTGCAATAAATTTATAAAAAGCATGCACATGGAAGATAAGAAACACACCACAGCAGGGATTGGTTGTCCTTAGAATGCTTATCAAATGTTTATACAACTTTCCCCTTGAGAGGTGTTCTCATATAGCAGACTTGGGTATTTTTAATCATCGTTGCTGACATAAGGGTGAAGGTGTTATAAATCTGTCTGTTCTTCCATCCATATCCCTGGGCATGCTCATTTCAAGTTTTGTTGATAGACATAGGGCTATATTTATTATAATGGCGCCTGTAGGCCAGTGCCTAGGCCAAGAAGTTTGTAGGAGGTAGCACTGAGCCTTGAAATGTATAAATTGTTTTAGCTTTCCCTACGTTGTGTGCTTTTTTCTGGCCACCTTGGAACAATTCTGTCTAAATTCTGTAATAGCAAATGTAGAGGCAAAGGGGTACATAGGATGTTGAGAAGTCAGAAGACTCTTAATGGTTCAGCAAACGTGAAACCATTTTTTGTTAGGAATATAGCTCTGAATATAAAGCAGACCTCATACTGCTTTCAAATGTATTTTAACATTAGTATTTACTTTAATAATCACATGACACTAGGAATGGAGCTTCTTTAAAAGGTCTTCATCATCCTTTTGTGTCCAGAGTAGGAATGAGCTTGGGTTTGGCCCCAAGTTCAGGTAAATTCAGAAGTCAACTGTCAGTGCCGGGCCAATGAGCTGTGGAAAGAGGAATACACATACACAAAGGAGTTGAAATGTTTGTGACATCATTAATCTAATATGGCCACATGGCCTTATTACATCAATGTCATTAACCTAATGGGGAAGATTTACAAAAAGTGGAGAGTGCAAAATCTGGCGCAACTCTGCATGGTAGCCAATCAGCTTCTAACTTCAGATTGTTCAGTAAAGCTTTGACAATAAATCATGGAAGCTGATTTTTTACTATACAGAGCTGCACCAAATTTTGCACTCTCCACTTTTAGTAAATCAACCCCAATATGTCCATGTGCCATATTATGTCAATGACGTTACAAACATTCTTTCCTCTTTGTATATGTTCAGCTGCAATCAGGGAATGATTGGCCCAAGAATGACAGCTGTCTTCCGGGTTCAGATGAACCCATGTTGGGTCCAAGTCCAACATCATCATTAGTCTAAAGCAGCGTAATGTCTAAATATTGCCTTGAGAAGATGGTATGACCATGACAAAATGCAAATCACCAACTACTCCAATCAACTATGTAGTCTGCACAACCAGAGAGGTGTAAGGAACAAAATCAGATTATCCACAAGGAAACCTAAGCAGAAGCCCACTACCTACCCACTGCCTGGTAGTAGGCTTGGAATCCTGGGTAAAGGATGGTGGAGCCATGCTCCTCATTGGAAAAGTCAGACTGGAATTCAAGTCTCATTTGTTTGCCTTCAGAGACAAAAAGACGATGACCAGGGTGAGATTTAGACTTTGGTGGGCCACAGAACTGCCCCAGTTCCTTGTCGTCTGCCCAAACCTGCCGAAAGAAGATTGAGATAAAAGTGGTGAGTGCAAAGTATGAAGCTGATTGCAAAAACGTGAAGACTTCAAAAAAAGTAATAATTTCTGCATTTTCTCACTTATTTAAATTGAACCTCACCTTGAGTTAGGGTGTTGGACTTCAAAATTGGTGGATGTTTCAAGGGAATTAATTGATTACTGAGGCAGCTCTTTTATGACTGATGGGACTCTTATAGGTTCCCTGGGAGAGTCAGTGTATGTGAAGTGAAATGAGTACCAAGCCATAGGGATTGGTCTAGATACAGCATAATATTTGTTTGCCACAAAAAGTGAGTCTATCAAGAGTTGGGTAATGTTTGGGTTTAATTCGCAGTAACCTGTAGATAGAAAGTTCATTAAGTCAGGTTGTCTGGCAGCAACAGAATTGAGGAGGTAGACATGTAGACTGGCAATGCTGAGCAATCCTATGTCACACAGACTAACCTAACTGAAACAGTTGCTGTGGTTTATCCTGTTATCTCAGCAGTTGTTCAACAGAGAAGTCGATGTCTAAGAAGTAAAATATTAGGGCTGACAAGACCTGCGCAGATAATCACATTGAAAAAAAAAATGAAAGGTCCAGTTTATAACTAATCCATTTCCAATACATACATCTCAAATCCTGATGAAAGGAATGTTTTTGGACCCTTGGCGTTTCTTTTGATTGTCCCCCTGACCCTTACTGGAATAAACTAGTATCTGGGTCTTTTAGTAGTTGTGTGGCACTTCAATTAGTTGATGGGTGGCAGGCTGCCTCGGCCGTGGTCATAGCGAGCAGTCGAGCTGACCCCCAAAATTAACGGACCTTTTGGGCAATATGATACCTTTGCCCACAATACGGTCCAATGTGTGGGTGGTGGGCGGAGACCGACCCCTTCCTGGCTGAGCAGCATCACCCCCTCACTCTCAGGGGTTTCCAGACACTGGCCTCACCTTTCTCAGGCTCAACAGCCAGGGGACACCTGCAGAACTCTCACTCTCTTCTAAGCAGCATTCTGATTGATAAAGGAACCACAAGCCTGAATGTGGTGAATGTTCTTTACTTGAAAAGTTCAATAAACTACATGGCTCTTCGTGGGTCACAGACCCCAACACAGTTCAACAGCATTAAGGAACACTTGGTCCTATGCCCTGCCGGTGGCTGCTCGTGTCTCTGCAGGAAGGTTCTCACTCTCAGTAGGCCTGCTACTCTTCTGGGCAAGGAGGGGAAGTACAGAGGGATAGACCAACTCCCAACGTCTTTCTCTAGGCCTGCACTGACCTGCTGTAGTTGTCCTCCTCTCTTGGGGTTAAGATGGGGAGCCCCGGGCACCCTGCCCCAAATAGATGTTGTCTCTTCCATCTGCCTCACCTCCCTTCCTGGTCCTGCCTTATCTCCCAGGGGGAGGAAGCACCTTAAAGGGAATCCAACTCTACTACCTGCAAACAAATGCACATTACATGACAATCTGAGGAGACCAAGCAGATCCTCTGGAGTGTAGAAGCTGCCTGCCCAGGAACCAGATCACCTACATCAACATCCTTACATTAAAGCGGAGTTCCAGTCAATCTGTAAAAAAAAAAAAAAGTCAGCAGCTACAAAAACTGTAGTTGCTGACTTTTAAAAAAAACAGCCACTCAAATGTCCCTCGATCCTGTGGTGTCATCCACACAGCCCATTTTACTGACTGTCCTGTGTTCCGGCTCCAGCATCTTCAGTGTGGGCAAGCTTGCGGCTTCACAGCCGTGTGCCCGCTGAGCATGCGCGAGTAGCACTGCACTTTCTGAATGGTTCTGTAGTCTTCTGGGATGCATCAGGTGTTCCAGAAGACTATGGGGAGGGAGGAGACAACTTCTGCAGCGGGAACGAGTACTCGAAATTGACAGGAAGAATTTGGGTGGAGCTCTGTTTGTGGAATGTATAGTAATACAAATAAGATAACCTTGCAGTTCCAGAGCTATCTTTCACTTTCCCTAATTAGTAAAATATCTGGGGACAGGAATGATGAACATTTTGACCTAGCAGCACTTGGGTCCTGTGTGCAAGCTGGTGAATTCTCCCATGCTTGGTTGGGGTTCCTACAAGAACACACACTGGTTTCTGGCCATAACCCAAGAACATAACGGTAGTTTGATTAGTGTCTACCTGAATGGCCCTAAATGTGTGTCTGTAGGATTGTGGTAAGGACATTCATTTTCTTCCTGGACTGTAAATATTATTAATAAAAACAATAAGGAAAACACATTTCTTAGCATGTATATGTGCCTTTGATACCTTAACAAAGTCATAGGTACAACCATCTGATGGCTCGATGTCAAATACAAGGAACTTCAAAGAGATGTGGTATCCATCGGGGACGGCAATATTCCAGGTGCTGTGATTGTTGTTGGGATATGTTTTCGGGTAATTGGGGGACACGATGAGCCCATATTGAGATCTCTTGGCTGCTGGAGAACAGGAGATACCTCCAAGAAGAAGAAGCGCCAAAAAGAACCTAGACAACAAAGGCAAAGGTTTCATACCTGCAACAATTATGATTTGTGCCACAAAGGAAGAACTTGTTAGCAGTTTATTGCTGTCATTGGGAAGCTCCCCCTCACATATATGACAACAGGGCAAGAAATGAGTGGGAAGGTGCCACCGGGACAGGAAGACACAGACAGCAATAAAAAAAAACAATCGTTCAAACTATTTCCCACTTATGAAAACAGTGTTTTTCTGCTTTCTCTGTCCCTGTCATGCTCTCTCTCCCCATGAATGCTGGCACTTTTGGGTTTTACCTGGCAGCTCTCCTGATTGGAATGGCATTCATTTCAAGGAGCATGTGGCTTAGTGTTCGAGCAATGCACCAAGCCCAGCCCCATGCTGGTTCTTAGCTGTATCCTCGTGCCAGTTATCTTTGGAACCTGCCACTTCAGTCTTCGTGCCTCCTTAGTTCCACTGCTCCAGTGTCGGGTGCTTCATCTGTGCTTGCCTCCAGCCCTTAGCGTGTTTCTCTGTTCCAACTCAGCAGTCCAAGTCCACAATATCTCTGAATCCAGTGTTTCCTGAGATTTCAGTGAACGCCAGAGCATCCTATGTCATCTACTGAATCCAGCATGTCCCTGTGCATCCATTGACTCCAGTGCATCCCAGAACATCCAGTGTCTTCTACTTATCTCTTCTCACCCGTACGCACCCCATGACTGCAGTGCATTCCAGAGAATCCTGTGTCTCTACTGACCCGAGCACCCCAGAGAATGCATCATCTTTTAGTGATCCCTGTGCACTCCTATGCACCCCATGACCACAGTGCACCCCAGAGCATGTGGTGTCTTCTAGTGATCCCTATGCACTCCTATGCACCCCATGACCACAGTGCACCCCAGAGCATGCGGTGTCTTCTAGTGATCCCTGTGCACTCCTATGCACCCCATGACTACAGTGCACCCCAGAGCATGCGGTGTCTTCTAGTGATCCCTGTGCACTCCTATGCACCCCATGACCACAGTGCACCCCAGAGCATGCGGTGTCTTCTAGTGATCCCTGTGCATCCTATGCACCCCATGACTACAGTGCACCCCAGAGCATGCGGTGTCTTCTAGTGATCCCTGTGCACCCTATGCACCCCATGACTACAGTGCACCCCAGAGCATGTGGTGTCTTCTAGTGATCCCTGTGCACCCCATGACTACAGTGCACCCCAGAACATGCGGTCTTCTAGTGATCCCTGTGTACTCCTATGTACCCCATGACTACAGTGCACCCCAGAGCATGTGGTGTCTTCTAGTGATCATTGTTCACTCCTGTGCACCCCGCAACTCAAGAGTGCCCAAGAGCATATAGTGCCTTCTAGAGATCCTGCTCACCCCTATGCACCCCATGACTGCAGTGTACCCCAAAGCATTCTGTGTCTCTACTGACCCCTGTGCAACATTTGCAACTCCAGAGGAGGCCAGAGCACCCAGTGTCTTCTAGTGATTCCTATGCATCCCGTGACTGCAGTGTACTAAAGAGCATTCTGTGTCTCTACTGACCCCTGTAACTCCAGAGGACCCCAGAGCGTCCAGTGTCTCTAGTGATCCCTGCTCACCCCTATGCACCCCATGACTGAATTGCATCCCAAAGTATCCTGTGTCTCTACTGACCCCTATGCACCCCATGACCAGAGGCGGACTGACCATTTGGAAACTTGGAAGAGCAGAAATAATAGTCTCACATGTTAACAACCCCCAGGTGACTTTATAGGGATCTTAGAGGCATCTAAACTATATATTTCATATCTACAAATAGACTGAATATTTTTGATACAGGGATAAATCTGTCTGAAACAGCCAGTACTGGGTCCCCTGTATTGCTGGGCCCCATAGCACTACATGATCTGCTATGGCTGTAGTTTTACCGGCAGAGATTTTACAGCTCATTTACTAAACAGGATTATAAAATACTTTTAATTTTGCATTAATAGCCCTTCCCTAAAATGTTCTACCTTTAAAAGACAATAAAACGTATTACCAAAATACGAATGGGAGAGTGTAAGCTCTATGAGGGCGGGGACTGGTATGATATGTAAATTGCTTCATAAAACAATTGTTGGCGCTATTAAAAAAGCTACAATAAATAAATAAACATTAGGATATAATTGTATCATTTGAACACAAGGACAGCGTTCGGTGTTCAAAATCAGGGATATTTCTGGACAAATGATTTCTGAAATTCCTAATTCTGGAACTACTGGTAGCTACACCGATGGAACCTCTGAACAGATCATTTCATCCTATTCTGTTCTGCAGTCTATTGGATCTCATCCATGCTAATTGTAAATAATAAATATCTGTTCCTTGCCATGGTAATACTTACATTCTCTGTTCTCTTGCGCGTTTATTCCTTAGAAATGAAAGTTTCAGCAGCAAACAGCGGATGGATCGGGAAGGGGGGAGGGGGTGGAGAAGAGGAGGAGATCAGAGGGGTGCCCAGAACAGTAATGAGCCAAAATTTCTGCTGGAGTTTCAGTCTCTGTCCCTCAGTCCTTTGCTGACCTCTGCTGTACAAACAGAGAAGCCAAGGAAATTATTGACTTAAAAGTGTTACTAAACCCACAACAGTACAATCAGTCCTTATATACAGGAAAGCATGCTGGTTATACTCACTGTGGAGCCAAAGGGGTTAATCCTCCGCATTGTCTAGCAAGCTGTTTGATCCTGTCTTCTCTGCCCATCCTCTTGTTGAAATGACCACCTGCTACAGACTGAATCCGAGGTCACAGGCACATGCTCAGTTTGGTGCGTGTTGCTAAAGAGATTTTTTTTTTTCTTGGGAGGGTGCATGTGATCAGCACAGGGCCAATCAGCACTGTCCAGAGGTTCAGGGGTTTCACATCCTCCTAGAGCAGAAAGAAAACTCCTCCTACAAGCTTTAAACCAGTGCTCTGCTGAAGTCACCAGACTGCTCTTACTGCTGATGAGAAAAGGTATTTAGCAGTTTAGATTTACTATAATAATTGCATTTCCATGTAGTGTACTGTGGGTGACCAGATATAGTGAATGCGGGGTCGGGGGGAGAGCGGATATAGTGAATGCGGGGTCCGGGGAGAGCGGATATAGTGAATGCGGGGTCCGGGGAGAGCGGATATAGTGAATGCGGGGTCCGGGGGGACCGGATATAGTGAATGCAGGGTCCGGGGAGAGCGGATATAGAGAATGCGGGGTCCGGGGAGAGCGGATATAGTGAATGCGGGGTCCGGGGAGAGCCAGATATAGTGAATGCGGGGTCCGGGGAGACCAGATATAGTGAATGCGGGGTCCGGGGAGAGCGGATATAGTGAATGCAGGCTCTGTGGGGACCAGATATAGTGAATGCGGGGTCCGGGGAGAGTGGATATAATGAATACGGGGTCCAGGGAGACCAGATATAGTGAATGCAGGGTCGGGGAGACCAGATATAGTGAATGCAGGGTCCTGTGTTTAGTAACATTTTAAAGTGGAATTAAACTATCTCATTTAACATTAACTACTTATAATCCTTATGCTGCTAGTATTAGTAAATAGATAGGAAGGTGTTATTTTAACTTGTGTTAAAACTTTTTTTTTTTTTACATTTCTTCAGTTGCTTCCTGGTTTCTGGCCTAGGTCAAAATGATGTCATATATCCTAGGAGTCTCCATAGGGGGGGAAGGGCTTTCTCAGCTAAGCACTCCCTCCTGCCTGCATGCCTGAGCTAAGGACAGATGGGTTGCAGGAAGTAAATGTTACATGAATCATCTGCCCTTACTCAAGATGGCCGTGACAAGAATCGCCAGGGGGTGTTTTTCAAAGTGATCCTAAAATCTAATAAAGCATGGAGACATGGATGGATGAGGGAGTTTGCTTTGAATATTAAAAATGCAATAAACAGCGGTTTCAGTTTGTGCTACTCAGATACAGTTAAGTTCCGCTTTAACTTTTAATGTTTAATCACTTCCCATGCGGCCCATGTATATAAACGGCCGGATGGTGGCAGTGCAGGGGCGGGTGGCTGTTTATAAATGGCCTCCCTACTCTCTGCTTGTGCGCGTTCCCTGGGAGCGCGCAGCACCGCGATCTGGTGCCCGCTGTGTCCTCCGGACACAGTGGAACACCGATCATTGTATAGGACCTCTGTGTGAACTCCCGTTCATGTGATCACTGATTGGCCAATCAGTGATCACATGAAGAGTGGTATGCAAGATGTCACTTCTGACATCATTGCTGACTACGTGTGAAATCTGTGAATGATCACAGAGATCACATGGTACAAGGCTGTTGTGAATAGCCCTGTACCATGTGACAAGCTGTGACCAATCACAGCTCACACAGTATTTTTCAATGGCTGCAATAATTCAGCCAGAGAGAAGGAGAAATGATTGTATTTACAGCCTTTATGGGTGTGTGTAAAAGCAATCAGTGTAAAAAAAAAAAAAAAAAAATCATCACCCCCCACATGTAGTACAGTGTCACCATGGTGACACTGTACTGTTAGGGTGACTGTAAAAAAAAAAAAAAAAAACCCAACAAATAATATAAAAAAAATAAATAAAAATGTAAAAAAAAAATTATAATTTTTGGTTATAAACGAATTTAGGTTTTTTTTTAATAAAAAATATAACTGAATACATTTTGGCCAAGATTTATAAAGAAAGATTATTTATTTGCAAAATGTTATTTTTTTTTCAAAATTTTTGGACTTTTTCATTTATATAGCAAAAAAAAAAAAATAAAAATCCCAGTGGTGAATGAACACCACCAAAATAAAAGTTTTATCTGTCTCAAAAAAAAAATGGTAAAAAATTCATATGGGTACAGAGTTGCATGACCGCGCAATTGTCATTCAAAGTGTGATAGCGCTGAAAGCTGAAAATCGGCCTGGGCAGGAAGGAGGTGAAAGCGTCCGGACTGGAAGGGGGTGAAAGCGTCCGGACTGGAAGGGGGGGAAAGCGTCCGGACTGGAAGGGGGGGGGGGGAAGTGTCCGGACTGGAAGGGGGGGGGGGGAAGTGTCCGGACTGGAAGGGGGGGGGAAGTGTCCGGGACTGGAAGTGTCCGGACTGGAAGGGGGGGGGGAAGTGTCCGGACTGGAAGGGGGGGGGGAAGTGTCCGGACTGGAAGGGGGGGGGAAGTGTCCGGACTGGAAGGGGGGGGGGAAGTGTCCGGACTGGAAGGGGGGGGGGGGGAGTGTCCGGACTGGAAGGGGGGGGGGAAGTGTCCGGACTGGAACTGATAGGGGGGGGGGGGGGGGGGGGGGGAAAGTGTCCGGACTGGAAGGGGGTGAAAGTGTCCGGACTGGAAGGGGGGGAAAGTGTCCGGACTGGAAGGGGGTGAAAGTGTCCGGACTGGAATGGGGGGGGGAAAGTGTCTGGACTGGAAGGGGGTGAAAGTGTCTGGACTGGACTGGAAGGGGGGGAAAGTGTCTGGACTGGAAGGGGTTAAAGGTCAATTCAACTTTCAGTTTAAATCGACTAAATAGATTCTTGGCAGATCCTGTTGCGTTGCCTAGGGCAGCACAAAACATAATACATTACTGCTTCCAATGGTAGTGTAGTGGTTGACTTAAGAAATAGACGCTAACCAGCCCTGCACTCCAGTCCCTGCAGTGGATTCTTCACCTGGCTTTTGCCCTCCAGCACTGCCATCTTTGATTTTGGAGCTTGCTGTGACTTCCAGATGTCTGCCGCCCCCACCACTATGCAGGAACATGGCAAGGCAGCGCTGTGAGACTGGTATTGCAGGTTCCTTGGACCTGTAAAGTGTCCCAGGAGGTTGCAGGTGAGGGATGCCATTTGTTGCCTAGGCAGTATTGAGGAAGTTAGATGTGGGGGCGAGCATGTGAATGGGTGCAGAATGGTACTGTGGCAGAGATCACTTGCGGTGTGTCCCGTATACAGTATATATGTGCGGTGTGTGTCCCGTATACGGTACATATGTGGGGTGTGTCCCGTATACGGTACATACAGTCATGGCCGAAATTGTTGGCACCCTTGATATTTCTCCAGGAAATCATGTATTTCTCACGAAACGTATTGCATTAACACATGTTTTGCTATACACATGTTTATTCCCTTTGTGTGTATTGGGACAAAACAAAAAAAGGGAGGAAAGAAAGCAAATTCGACATAATGTCACACAAACCTCCAAAAATGGGCTGGACAAAAGTATTGGCACCCTTTCACAACTGCGGATAAATAAGAATGTTACAAGCATGTGATGCTCCTGTAAACTCACCTGGGGCAAGTAACAGGGTGTGGGCAATATAGAAATCACACCTGAAAGCAGATAAAAAAGGAGAGACGTTCACTTAACCTTTGCATTGTGTGTCTGTCTGTGCCACACTAAGCATGGACAACAGAAAGAGGAGACGAGAACTGTCTGAGGACCTGAGAACCAAAATTGTGGCAAAATATCAACAATCTCAAGGTTACAAGTCCATCTCCAGAGAACTAGATTTGCCTTTGTCCACAGTGCGCAACATTATCAAGAAGTTTGCAACCCATGGCACTGTAGCTAATCTCCCTGGTCGTGGACGGATGAGGAAAATTGATGAAAGATTGCAACGCAGAATAGTCCGGATGGTGGATAAGCAGCCCCAAACATGTTCCAAAGACATTCAAGCTGTCCTGCAGGCTCAGGGAGCATCAGTGTCAGCGCGAAACTATCCGTCGACATTTAAATGAAATGAAACGCTATGGCAGGAGACCCAGGAGGACCCCACTGCTGACACAGAGACATAAAAAAGCAAGACTACAGTTTGCCAAAATGTACTTGAGTAAGCCAAAAGCCTTCTGGGAAAACGTCTTGTGGACAGATGAGACCAAGATAGAGCTTTTCGGTAAAGCACATCATTCTACTGTTTACCGAAAACGGAATGAGGCCTACAAAGAACAAAACACAGTACCTACGGTAAAATATGGTGGAGGTTCAATGATGTTTTGGGGTTGTTTTGCTGCCTCTGGCACTGGGTGCCTTGACTGTGTGCAAGGCATCATGAAATCTGAGGATTACCAAAGGATTTTGGGTCGCACTGTAGGGCCCAGTGTCAGAAAGCTGGGTTTGCGTCCAAGATCCTGGGTCTTCCAGCAGGACAATGACCCCAAACATACGTCAAAAAGCACTCAGAAATGGATGGCAAAGAAGCGCTGGAGAGTTCTGAAGTGGCCAGCAATGAGCCCAGATCTAAATCCCATTGAACACCTGTGGAGAGATCTTAAAATTGCTGTTGGGAAAAGGTGTCCTTCCAATAAGAGAGACCTGGAGCTGTTTGCAAAGGAAGAGTGGTCCAAAATTCCGGGTGAGAGGTGTCAGAAGCTTATTGATGGTTATAGGAAGCGACTGATTTCAGTTATGTTTTCCAAAGGGTGTGCAACCAAATATTAAGTTAAGGGTGCCAATACTTTTGTCCAGCCCATTTTTGGGGTTTTGTGTGACATTATGTCATATTTGCTTTTCTGCCTCTGTTTTATATTTGTTCCAATACATACAAAGGGAATAAACATGTGTATAGCAAAACATGTGTTAATGCAATACCTTTTTTGTGTGAAATACTTGATTTTCAGGAAAAATATCAAGGGTGCCAACAATTTCGGCCATGACTGTATGTGGGGTGTGTCCCGTATACGGTACATATGGTGTGTCCCGTATACGGTACATATGTGGGGGGTGTGTCCCGTATACGGTACATATGTGGGGTGTGTCCCGTATACGGTACATATGTGGGGGGTGTCCCGTATACGGTACATATGTGCGGGTTGTCCCGTATACGGTACATATGTGCGGTGTGTCCCGTATACAGTATATATGTGGGGTGTGTCCCGTATACAGTATATATGTGGGGGTGTGTCCCGTATACACAGTATATATGTTGGGTGTGTGTCCCGTATACATGTGGGGTGTGTCCCGTATACATGTGGGGTGTGTCCTGTATACAGTATATATGTGGGGTGTGTCCCGTATACAGTATATATGTGGGGTGTGTCCCGTATACAGTATATATGTGGGGTGTGTCCCGTATACAGTATATATGTGGGGTGTGTGTCCCGTATACAGTATATATGTGGGGTGTGTCCCGTATATATGTGGGGTGTGTCCTGTATACAGTATATATGTGGGGTGTGTCTGTATACAGTATATATGTGGGGTGTGTGTCCAGTATACAGTATATATGTGGGGTGTGTCCCGTGTATACGTTATATATGTGGGGTGTGTCCCGTATACAGTATATATGTGGGGTGTGTCCCGTATACAGTATATATTGTGGGGTGTGTCCCGTATACGTTTATATATGTGGGGTGTGTCCCGTATACAGTATATATGTTTTTGTGTGTGTCCGTATACAGTATATATGTGGGGTGTGTCCCGTATATATTTGTGGGGTGTGTCCTGTATACAGTATATGTGGGGTGTGTCCTGTATACAGTATATATGTGGGGTGTGTCCCGTATACGTTATATATGTGGGGTGTGTCCCGTATACAGTATATATGTGGGGTGTGTCCCGTATACAGTATATATGTGGGGTGTGTCCCGTATATATATTTGTGGGGTGTGTCCTGTATACAGTATATATGTGGGGTGTGTCCCGTATACAGTATATATGTGGGGGGTGTGTCCCGTATACAGTATATATGTGGGTGTGTGTCCCGTATACGTTATATATGTTTTTTTTTTTGTGTTTTTTATACAGTATATATATGTTTTTGTGTCCTGTATACAGTATATATGTGCGGCGTGTCCCGTATACAGTATATATGTGGGGTTGTGTCCTTGTATTTTTTTATATATGTTTGGGGTGTTTCCCGTATACATGTGGGGTGTTGTCCTGTATACAGTACATATGTGGGGTGTGTCCCGTATACAGTATATATGTGCGGCTTTTTGTCCCGTATACGGTATATATGTGCGGCGTTGTCCCGTATACGGTATATATATGTAGGGTGTGTTTATACATGTGGGGTGTGTCCCGTATACGGTTATATATGTGGGTTGTGTCCCGTTTACGGTATATATGTGGGGTTGTGTCCCGTATACAGTTTTATATGTGGGGTGTGTCCCGTATACAGTATATTTGTGGGGTGTTTCCCGTATACAGTATATATGTGGGGTGTGCCCCGTATACAGTATATATGTGGGTTGTGTCCCGTATACAGTATATATATGTGGGGTGTGTCCTGTATTTTTTATACATGTGGGGTGTGTCTGTATACAGTATATATGTGGGGTGTGTCTCGTATACAGTATATATGTGGGGTGTGTTTTTGTATACAGTATATATGTGGGGGTGTGTTGTTATATATGTGGGGTGTGTCCTGTATACAGTATATATGTGGGGTGTGTCCTGTTTACAGTATATATGTGGGGTGTGTCCCGTATACGTTATATATGTGGGGTTGTGTCCCGTATACAGTATATATGTGGGGTGTGTCCTGTATACAGTATATATGTGGGGTGTGTCCCGTTATATGTGGGGTGTGTCCTGTATACAGTATATATGTGGGGTGTGTCCCGTATACAGTATATATATGTGGGGTGTGTCCCGTATTACAGTATATATGTGTGGGGTGTGTGTTTGTATACAGTATATATGTGGGGTGTGTCTTTTGTATACAGTATATATGTGGGTGTGTCCGTATACAGTATATATGTGGGGTGTGTCCTGTATACGGTATATATGTGGGGTGTGTCCCGTAACGGTTACATGTGGGGTGTGTTTGTATACAGTACATATGTGGGGTGTGTCCCGTATACAGTATATATTGTGCGGTGTGTCCCGTATACAGTATATATGTGGGCGTGTCCCGTATACGGTATATTGTAGGTGTGTTTTTTCCCGTTATACATGTGGGTTGTGTCCCGTATACGGTATATATGTGGGGTGTGTCCGTATACGGTATTTATGTGGGGTGTGTGTCCCGTATACAGTATATATGTGGGGTGTGTCCCGTATACAGTATATATGTGGGGTGTGTCCCGTATACAGTTATATATGTGGGGTGTGTCCCGTATACAGTATATATATGTGGGGTGTGTGTTGTATACAGTATACATGTGTGGGGTGTGTTTTGTTTATACAGTATATATGTGGGGTGTGTCTGTATACAGTATATATGTGGGGTGTGTATGTCCCGTTATTACAGTATATATGTGGGGTGTGTTCCGTATATATGTGGGGTGTGTCCTGTATACAGTATATATGTGGGGTGTGTCCTGTATACAGTATATATGTGGGGTGTGTCCCGTATACGTTATTTATGTGGGGTGTGTCCCGTATACAGTATATATGTGGGGTGTGTCTCGTATACAGTATATATGTGGGGTGTGTATTATATGTTGGGGTGTGTCCTGTATACAGTATATATGTGGGGTGTGTCCCGTTTACAGTATATATGTGGGAATTTGTGTCCCGTATACAGTATATATGTGGGGTGTGTTTTATACGTTATATATGTGGGGTTGTGTCCCGTATACAGTATTTATGTTTTTTGTGTCCTGTATACAGTATATATGTGTTGCGTGTCCCGTTTACAGTATATATGTGGGGTGTGTTTGTTTTACGTTTTATATATGTGGGGTGTGTCCCGTATACATGTGGGGGTGTGTCCTGTATACAGTACATATGTGGGGTGTTTTCCGTATACAGTATTTTTATGTTTTTTTTGTGTCCCGTATACAGTATATATGTTTTTGTGTTTGTCCCGTATACGGTTATATGTAGGGGTGTGTCCCGTATACATGTGGGGTGTGTGTTTTTTATACAGGTTTTATATGTGGGGTGTGTTTTTTAGGGTTGTATTTACGGTTTATATATGTGGGGTGTTTGTGTTGCTCGTATACAGTATATATGTGGGGTGTGTCCCGTATACGTGTTTATATGTGGGGTGTGTCCCGTATACAGTATATATGTGGGTTTGTCCCGTATACAGTATATATGTGGGGTGGTTTTGTGTGTTTTTTTTATACATTTATATATGTGGGGTGTGTCGATTGGTTACAGTATACTTGTGGGGTTTTTGTGTTGTATACAGTATATATGTGGGGTGTGTTTCGTGTTACAGTATATATGTGTGCGGTGTTTGTTTGTATACAGTTTATATCTGTTTTTTGTGTCCCGTATACAGTATATATGTGGGGTGTGTCCTGTATACAGTATATATGTGGGGTGTTTTTTTTTCCTGTATATGATGTCACATTTGGGGTATATTGTGTCCTGTATACAGTTATATATATGTGGTATTGTGTCCTGTATACAGTATTTATGTGGGTGTGTCCTGTATACAGTATATATGTGGGGTGTGTCCTGTTTTTTTACAGTATATATGTTTTTGTGTGTTTGTTATGATGTCACATTTGGGGTATATTGTGTCCTGTATACAGTTTATATATGTGGGTTGTGTCCTGTATACAGTATATATGTGGGTTTTGTCCCGTTTATACAGTTTTATATGTGGGTGGTTTGTGTTTTTTTATACAGTATATATTGTGGGGTGTTTCCCGTATGTTGTATATATGTGGGGTGTGTCCCGTATACAGTATGTACATGTGGGGTGTGTTTCGTATACAGTATATATGTTTTTTGTGTCCCGTATACAGTATATATATGTGGGTGTGTCCCGTATACAGTATATATGTGCATTTGTGTTTGTTTTACTATTTTTTATATATCTGCGGTGTGTCCCGTGTGTATATATTGGGGTTTTTTTCCTGTTATACAGTATATATGTGGGGATTTTTTGTGATTTTGTCCTTTATATGATGTCACATTTGGGGTATGATTTTTTTTGTGTCCTGTTTTTTATATATTGTGTGGGTTTATGTCCTGTTACAGTATATATGTGGGTGTGTCCTGTTGTTTTTATATATGTTTTTGGGTGTGTCCTGTTTACAGTATTTATGTGGGGTTGTCCTGTATATGATGTCACATTGGGGGGTATTTTTGTTTTTTGTTACAGTTTATTTTTTATTGGGGTGTATGTCCCGTTTACATTTTTATTTGTGGGTTTTTTTTTTTGTGGTATACAGTTGCTATTTTGGGGGTGGGGGTTTACAGTATATATGTGGGGTGTGTCCCGTATACAGTATATTGTGGGGTGTGTTTTTTTGTTTATTATGTTTGGTTTTGTTGTGTTTTTTGGGGTGTGGTCCCGTATTTGGTGTTGGTTGGGTTTTTTGTTTTGGGGGGGTGGTGTGGTTTTGGTGTTTTTTTTTTGGGTTTTGGATTTGTTTGGGGGGGGGGTTGGTTTGTGGTGGGGGGTGGGGGTGTATTGGGGGGGGGGTGTTTTGTTGTGTGTTTGGGGGGGTGGGGGGGGGTTGGGGTTGGGGGGGGTTGGGGGGGGTTGTGGGGGGGGTTTTGTTTTGTGTGGGGGGGGGTTGTTGTGGGTGTTGGTTGGGGGGGTGGGTTGTTGGGTGGGTTTTGGGTTGTTTTGGGTGTTTGGGGGGGGGGGGGGGGGTTGTGTGTGTTTGTTGTGGGGTTTTTGTTTTGGGGGGGGGGGTGGGGGGGGGGGGGGGGGGGGGGTTGGTTTGGGGGGGGTTGGGGGGGGGTTTGGGGGTGGGGGTTGGTGGGTGGGGTGGGGGGGGGGGGGGGTTGTTTGGGTGTATTTGGTGGGGTGGTGGTGGTGGGGGGGGTTTTTGGGGGGTTGGGTGGTTTTTTGTGGGGGGGGGTTGTGTGGTGGGATATGTGGGGTGTGTCCCGTATACGGTATATATATGTGGGGTGTGTCCCGTATATACGGTATTATATTGTGGGGTGTGTCCCGTATACGGTATATATGTGGGGTGTGTCCCGTGTATACAGGTATATATGTGGGGTGTGTCCCGTTATATACAGTTATATATGTGGGGTGTGTCCCGTATACAGTATATATGTGGGGTGTGTCCCGTATACAGTATATATGTGGGGTGTGTCCCGTATACAGTATATATATATGGGGTGTGTGTCCCGTATACAGTGTATATATGTGGGGTGTGTCCTGTATACAGTATATATGTGGGGTGTGTCCTGTATATGATGTCACATTGGGGTATATTGTGTCCTGTATACAGTATATAGGAGTGCAGTGTGTCAGATGTATCTAGCGCTCTGTATATAGAAGTAGGGTGTATACTGGGTGTGGGGGGGCCGTGCTCAGTGTTGGACCTCGGAGGCGGGTCCCGGGATGATTTTCTGGGGGTTCAGTCAACAGGTCATAGTCCCTCCTCCCAGTGTCTCCCTTCTCCCAGCACTTCCCCTTCCCGGCCACTCCGGGGCGCAGCTTCCCCAACTTCCCCTCCAGACACCCTGAAAATACAGTCACTTCCTGCCTGGTCTCCATGGTGATCGGTCTTCCAGGAGGAAATCCATGGTGATGGGACACTACAGGAGGAGCTGAGTGTTGCTGCCCTCTAGCGGCTCCTGTGTGCATTAACATCAGGGAAATGTCAGCACAGAGAATGGCCAGGAGATTTATGTCATCCAAATACACAGAACAGCTTTATTGTATTATAATTATTGGGATTATTATTATTACAATTTAATATGAAGAATTAGAATCTTATTAATACATTCAAATAAATAAAATGACATTTTAATAACATTGTATGAATATAAATAGAGTCGTATATATTATTAATACAGGGAAATGTTGTCAATGTGATATAATAGGATCCAATCCAATGCCGCCTTGGCTGGATCCCAGATGAGCCAATCACAGTAAAGCAGGCTGAACAGAGGCTGCGGATTGGTCTCACACACACACACACACGCACTCACGCACACTTTGGTCACATGACCTCCCTCACTATGGTCACATGACTCAGCAGACTGCACAGGCTGAGCAGTCAGTTGTTTTCTCTCACCAGAGACAGCTGCTTCCTTACAGAGCTCCTGTGACTGATTGCTTTGTATCTCATTGCACTCAATCTACAGCCATTGGAATCGACTTTCCATTTATATCCAGCGATCCACAGTGATCAGTAACTGCTGATTTCTGTATTTCTCATTTCTAAAAATAAAAAAAATGAGAAGTAGAATTGTTGCAGTGATTGTTATTCTGTTGCTCCCGTGGGGAGTACACAGAAACGACATCAAAGACTCCCCAGAGACCTACATGGAGGGGGGGGGCATGAAGATGATGGGGGAACACCAAAATTTCATCAAAGACTCCCCAGATAGCCGCATGGAGGAGAAGGAGAGGAGCATGAAGGTGATGGAAAGAACAAATGCCGGAAATGGTCAGAAAAATTGGAAAATGAGCCCCAGAGATCCGCATGGAGGAGAACAAAAAGATGACAGAGCAGCCAATGGAGGAAAACGGTCAGAGAATTGGAAAACGAGTCCCCACGACCCATCGGCTGGTTTTCACTTCTGGCCACCACTACATTCTGGTTTAAGGGGACAGTCCTGATAAGTGTTCTCATTCTGAGGTACATCCTGCGCAGAAATGACCTGACCACAATATTAGCTCAATATTTGATGTTCCTGGAGCTGATTGAATTCTTTTATCAACTGCAAGATATCTGGTACAGCAGGGGGACAGCTTTAGAGAACACAGTCCTAGGAATAAATACCGTAGATTGGTACCAATGGAAGGTTACTGGGCTCCAGTCTGTCTAGTCCAAAGGGTGGGCGGTCTTAGAGAGCACAGTCCCACCCATGCTTATAAATGCTAGTGATTGGTACCAATGGATGGTTGCTGGGCTCCAATCAGTTTGGTCCAACAGCTGGGCAGCCTTAGAGAACACAGTCTCATACATGCGTTTAAATGTTGGTGATTGGTACCAATGGATGGTTTCTGGGCTCCAGTCTGTCTGGCCCAAAGGGTGGGCGGTCTTAGAGAGCACATTCCCACCCATGCTTATAAATGCTAGTGATTGGTACCAATGGATGGTTGCTGGGCTCCAATCAGTTTGGTCCTAACAGCTGGGCAGCCTTAGAGAACACAGTCTCATACATGCGTTTAAATGCTGGTGATTGGTACCAATGGATGGTTGCTGGGCTCCTGTCAGTCTGGTCCAAACGGTGGGTGGCCTTAGAGAGCACAGTCCCACCCATGCTTATAAATATTGTTGCTGACCACCGGTTAGAATGCTGGCTGGGGCTTATCATTCTGCTGGTATTGCTCCTAATACATTGCAAGCCAATCTATCAAATGTTCCGACCAACGAGTAGCAAAATGATCCCACCAACGAGTGGCATCATTCTGTCAGCAAGTGATGACACCATCCCACCAAAAAATGAAAATGCGGACAACACTACGGATGAAACTGACATTCCCATTTCCAGCATCACACCTCAGGATTCCCTCAGTGCTCACCTACGCCAGCAAATGAAGAAGGGCAAGCCAAAAATGAGCAAGCAAGAAGAAACCCCACGGAAGACATTATCCCGAGTGTCATCATTCCACCAAAAAGTGAAAATGCAGACAACGCTATGGACAAGACTGGCTTTCCCATTCCCAGCGTCGCACCTCCTAGAGATCCCATCCGTGTTCACCTACAGGGTTTATGCCGGCAAATGAAAAGGCACAGGCCAACCAAGGAGTTCAGGCACCGTGAGCTCAATCTACCAGAGAGTGACACCATCCCACCGGAAAATGAAAATGTGGACAGCACTACAGATCATACTGATGTTCCCAGGGTTGCACCTCCTAGGGATCCCATCCGTGTTCACCCTTCCAGCACATCAACAAGAGATTTACTCTTTCCAGCATTAAATAACACTTTACCATCAACGAGTTCTGGCATCTTTCCAACAAAAGGCATGATCCTACAATCGAGTTCTGGCAATAGGCGAGAATGGACAACCATGACTGTCCATCCCAGTGTCCAATCCAGAGGCGAAATTCCTAGGGATACCACCCATTTTATCCTACAGAAATTATTGCGGCGACGGTACAAGCGTAGACCAAACAAAAAGGCCCACCATTAGCCTTAAAGCAGAACTATTCTTTTCTTAGCTCCAGTGCTGTGGTGTACCGGAGCTCCCCACCAGCCACTGACATCTTCACCCAGGCAGCTTTTGGGTACTAATCTCCAGACATTTTAATTGGCTGGGCTAAGGTGGCTTCATTCTCGTGCAGGCGTGGGAGTTCAGTCATCCTGACATTGATGAAATTCTGCACTAAGCTGCACGGGTGCAGTTAGTTAGGAATTCACCAAACAAAAAAAAAGATCTGCAGGAGTAGCATGGAGGACCACTAGTCTATGCGGGGACAAAGGCAGATTGGACAACATGAAGCACAGAAGGATGGTGTAGGGAGCGGAACTCTAGCCTGTTGCCTCTGGAACCATGTGCATGCCTCTTACCCGAGCATCTGAGATATCTGCTGACCAGGTGACCCCAAAAGCAAACAGACGTCCCCCCACTTTGGGAAATGGTGGCTTCCACTTAGGATGTTTAATAGAACTTGTCTGTAGGTTTGGGGTATTAGGGGCCCTAGGCTTGTGACTGAACTGGGTCCCTAGCTTAGGCCTGGCCTTGGAGGTTGAAGTCTCAGAGAAACAAAAGGACTGCTTCTTGGCTTCAGAGGTGGGAGGAGTCGTCCCAGCTTGAGGCCATTTCTGTTGAGGCCAATGAGAACTCTGACTACCAGTGACATCCTTTATGAGGTTGTCTAAGGGTCAGGTTGGGGGCACAGAGGAGACCTTCACCATCAGAAGACATGAGCACGAAGCGTTCTTCACATCGCCGCTCCACAGACCAACATCTCACACAAAGTTCTCCTCATGTTCATAGACAGGACACTCGTGGGAGATGGAAAACATCAACAAACCCATCCACCGAATAATGTACAGCTGAAAACATCACCTCTAATCTCTACTGGATATCACTAATTTCCCCTGCTTAGCGGAGGTGGGCCTTGTACATCAGAGGTCGCATATGGGCAGCACAGAGGCTTAGTGGTTAGCCTTGCAGCACTGGGGTCCTTGGTTCAAATCCTGACCAGGACCCTATCTGCATGGAGTTTGCATGTTCTCCCTGTGCATGTGTGGGTTTCCTCCAAAGACATGCAACCTTGTGTTGGTGGTGTAGTGGTTAGCATAGCTGCTTTCCAACTAGCTGATCTGGGTTTGATTCCAAGCCAACGCAATATCCAAGATGGCGGCTTCGCCTCCTTAGTATTGGAATGATAATACTAAATATTATTTATAGCAATGATAATAATAATTCCAACAATATCGACAACTATCATGATAATAATAATAATAAAAATATGTCTAATGATAATAATCCTAATAATGGCAATAATAGTATTAACCGCTTAAGGCCCGCCCACCGTACATTTACTGCAGGGCGGACCCTGTGTGCAAAATCATGTATATACAGTTGTGTTCAAAATAATAGCCGTCAGACATCACTAACCGGATCAATCACTGTTTTTGGTGGAAATGATATTTCTACATGGCAAATAATTTCCTAGCAGGTGTAGTAGAGTAATAGAAATCCAACAGACCCAACAGTCATGACATGCATGCTGCTGATTGTGTCATTGAATCACTCATTGAAAGGGGCGTGTTCACAATAATAGCCGTGTGGAGTTCTATTAGTGAGGTCATTCAGTCTTTGAAAAACAGGTGGCAATTATTGCCCTTATTTAAGGAAGGAAGGCAGCAAATGTTGTACATGCTGGTTACAGTGCATTTCTCTCTGAAATTCTGAGGAAAATGGGTCGTTCCAGTCATTGTTCAGAAGAACAGCGTACCTTGATTAAAAAGTTGATTGGAGAGGGGAAAACATATAAAGAAGTGCCCCAAGAACAAGCAGGAACTGAAGACAGTTGCAGTAGAGGCCTGGCAGAGCATCACCAGGGATGAAACCCAGCGTCTGGTGATGTCTATGCGTTCCACACTTCAGGCTGTAATTGACTGCAAAGGATTTGCAACCAAGTAGTAAAAAGTGAAAGTTTGATTTATGATTATTATTCTGTCCCATTACTTTTG